TGATTCTGAAATAATCATTTTTTGGCTTAATGACCTAATTAATTAACAGTTTTTTTATTTTTGACATAACCTTAATTTAAATTATTATAATTTGTAAACAATTAAAATAATTCTAGTGGATTTTTATCTATTCTCTTTTATTCCACGTGGGTTTTCATTGTGATTTCATTGTGAAGTGAATATGATCTTTTGGGTGTACTCGTCTGATTGGTGGAACTGGTCAAAATGCAGTTAAGTATAAAAAACACAGAATCGTTTTTCTGTGGGCTTTGGTTTTTGAAACGATCTCTTTCCTAAACAGAAGTCTGGCAGGCAAGTCTTCTTTATTTTGAATAATTTTTGCTCTTAATTCTTGGATTCTCCCTTATAGATTTTTCAATATATTTTGCTATCAATGCATATTATCATATAATTATTAAGTTTTTACCTGACAAATCTTATCTTATCTGTTCTTGAAATATAAATATATATTTTTTTTAAATCTAATTGTTGGCTCCCATTTTGTGTGAGTGCCGATTGGTAGTGCCACGTTTATCTGAGGTAAGTCAATTCAGATTTTTGAATTTTAAAAAGGTACTGCTGCTCTGGTTTTCAGAATCAATTGTTAGTGTGGGAATATTGGACCATTTGCTCTAAATAGAGTCGGTGAAAAATCAAATGTGTTTGTTCATCCCTATCAACACTTTATTGAATCCAGGCGGAGGCCTGAATAGCCATTTTCTGTTTGATTCCCTCAATTATTATTTCGACTAAAGGGTGTAATTTTTTTAATAGAAATCCAGACAGGTCAAAAATTCAGTAAAAAGTTTTAATTAGAACATCTCAAGAATTTTGACATATTTTGGATTTGATTAATTTCAACCCCAGGTTTATCTTGTATCTATAGTAGCTACCTTAATTTGAAAGGAAAATTTGTCTATTTGGGGGAGAATCCAAATATTTAATTTCTCATTGCTTTGCCTTATTTTGTTGATATTTTTGCATGCTGGAGCGGAGCTACTGTCAGGAAAGCAGCACTCTGCTCAATTTGTAGGGAGCATTTTAATTTTACTATTATCTAACCATTATTTTCAATTATTTAATTGTATTTTTTTTATATTAAAATATTTTTTTTTTTTTCAACTTGCAATAGCTGTTCATACCTGATTCTGTTGGAAGGAAGTGTCTGTACAACAATAGTTTTATATTAAATTACAATTTAAATTTTCTTTGCAAGACACTTTTTGACAGAATTCAGGGATTTAATATTCCAAATACTGGTGAACCTGATACTGCCCTATTCTTTTCTGGGTACCTACTCCACATAAAGATCACTGTTTGGAGTCTGGATCAGCTGGAGTGATGTCACCCCAGCAATCTATCCTCTTCCTAGATACAGGAAACGACACGAAGAGCTCCAGTTCACGAAAGTGAAACCCCAGCATCCAATGAAGAGCTCCGGATTGGAAAGGTATATGGTATCAGATTAACCGGAAAAACCAAGCTGTCAACACTGAAATTTTTCAGTAACATTTACTGTAACTCTATGTACCATATAACATTGTTAAATATCAAATAAAATTATTGTTTGTTGGATTTTGAGTGGTTTCATTTGCACATAAAGGGATTACACGTTATCATATTTTTTTTTGAATTCCTCGACCCTAGGTTATCTTGTGTTAAAGTAACAAATGTTCATTTAATTAGTAACACCTTTTAAATCACCGGGAGTGGACGAGATCTTTCCAGCACTCCTACAAAGAAGAAAAACTAAGATATTATGGAGAATGGCAAGAGTCACTTTCATTCCTGAGGCAGGCAAGAAAGCTGGGACAGACCCCAAAACCCTCAGACCAATGAGCCTCACATCGTTCCTTCTAAGGAGGATATGGTATCTGAAATAAAGTTCCAATCTGTAAATATTTTTTTCTCCACCCATCAAAAGTTGAATTTGTATCTACTTAATATATTTAAAACATTTTCCAACAAAACAATTCATAAAAGTGTATCTACCTACTTGTTATTTTAACCATGTACTTTTGCCTGGTATATAATATCGACTTTCAAAGTTAATAAATCAAGTTTAAGGACCCTCGGACACAAGACGACACAATTCAACTTCCTATATACTTTTGCCATGAACTTTTCCTCGTTAAGTTTGATATACGGTCGCATTAGAAGTGGCGAAGTGGACATTTAGAAAAATGAATGTGAAATAAAAGAAGGCAACAATAATAATCCATTTTTCTTACTATGAGGTGTTTTAATTCTGCTATTATTCTTGCAAACTTGTATACCCCCTAAGTAGGTACCTGCTTAGGAAACTCTCAAAAGGGCTTTTTGCCTATTTTAGTTTGTGTAGAGTAGAGCAATCTACAAAGTTCGATTGTGCCTATATTTTTCATTAGCGACTTTTTTCGTTTATCATATGCGCACACGTCACTTGCTGGAAGCAGCTGCATTTTTATGCTGTCTTGTCCGAGATTTTAAAAATAATATATTCTCGACTGCAGAGTAGACAACGCACACTCTCGCTACGCGACCCGCAGCCTTATTCTGTAACTTGCGACCGCAGAGAATTGCGCAATTGTCGCTGTCAAGTCGCTGTCAAACGCGAGTTTTCTATTTAAAAAAAGCAACTTGCGACCGGTTGCTAGTTGCTATGTAGTTGCTGTTCATAGAGAATAAGCCTGCTATACAAATTCGTGTCGTATCGGACGGTTCGGTCAATATAACGAAACTGCCCCTATTTTACTGTCCTAAGAAGCTACAGAGTACTCTGCTACAGTCAACACGCTTCAGTTTGGACCAGTACCCAGAAAACCAGCAGAAACCTTTAAGGTAAGTGATCTTTGTGTACCGGGTTTAAACATACATTTCATTTTCTCTCAAATCATACAGTCCACTAAACAATTTTCATATTTTCCGCAACAGTAGGTACCTATAATCAAAGATTCGAATATACAGAAAGAGTACTTACCTAATGAAATTTTTATCGGTTATCTTTATAAACATTTTCGATTATTTGAAAATATTTTTTCATCAAAACATACTTCAGTTCGGTTTATCAGCCGTCGAGTGTGCCTCGCTTTATTCCGCATGAGATTATTGAAAATTCTCTTAGAAACATATAGGCCTAAATCTTGCATCTCCAGTAAATTTCATTGAGGCTGGTAAGTATATCCGGAGATGAATATAGTCATATTCTCAGCTTTCGCAGACAAGCCTATGTCTTTCCTACTTCAGATAATTTCGAACTACATACATCCACAATTGTTACGTGTGAAGACATGGAGTATAGATTTTCTCTGTCCACTGACAAAATGGAGTGTTTCATTTGTAAACAAACAGGCCACATTGCTAATAAATGCCCAAGTTTAACAATACAAATTGCACCTAGTTAAAGTATTGATTCAAAAAAGGCAGCCGATCTTCAGCCCCAAAGCCAAGAAATATTGCAAAAAAGAAATATATCTGATATCTTAACGCCTAGTTATTGTGGTTCCGATATTTTGATTGTTGCTGAAGATTGCCCTGATAAAATAATGCCGCCACCTTCTGGGAAATTGACGCATATTCAGAAAAACCGTGAAACAACTAGTGATTCCTATATGCCTATAATATCTGATAAGTGTAAAAAGGATATACATGAAGCATATAGCTTATCCACCAATGATTTCGCCCTTTCTGCTGAAAACTTTATTGCTTTCCTAGAAAACACGTATGATAACAATGATCCTTATCAAGAAGCTCTCAAATTCTCTCCTGAAGTCAAGCTGTTAATCACAAATTATGCACGACATTTACCCTACTATACAAGAAAGAAAAGTCGGTATCTGATATTATACCGAACATCAATTGTCTTCAAGAAACTAATTTCAAGAAATAACACAAAAAGTATCTTAAATCCTATGTGGGCTTTCATCAGATAAAACTAGCCTGTGACAGAACAAGTGGTGGTACTTCTATCTTCATATCTGATGATATTTTTTTTCAAGATTTGTTGATTACCACCGATCACGAAGTGATTGTTGTCAAAGCATGGTGTCCAAAATTAATAACCATTTGTAATATTTACATACTGCCTGATTATAATCTAACTAAAGAATAATTGGAAAATTCACTTAATCAGCTACCTTCACCATTTATAATTACAGGCGACTTAAATGCGCATAATACTATATGGGGTTCTGTAAGCACAAATAAGAAAGGTAGAATCATTGAAAACTGGTTGAATGAAAATAACCTTTATCTCCTGAATAAAAGTCAGGAAATACACTAATATCACTCTTACCACCTCTTGCTCCTAAAAGCTGCTGTCACGTGCCCTCCTATTCTTGCAGCGAAGCCTTCTTTCTATGTCCTACTCAGTTCGGTAACGACGTATCATCGGCTGAGATACGGCTATGTCCATGTCCTTGAAACAGCGGTAAATGTCACTTTTATGAACTATCAGTACATTCAAACATTCCTGATACAATGGCGACAGTCCATAATTTCGTTTGGGCACTAAATAGGAAGATTCAGCATCACTGGTTCTTCGAACGGCGCCTCCACCATATGTCACACGCCTCGCAGCTCATGATGGTGGGAACTAAGGCTACGGGTTGCTCTTCAGGAAAACGCACACAACTACAAAAGGCACTTATCGTGTATTGCTTCCTAGTGGGTACATCACCAATGGGGCACTACGTAGGTGCGCCATGATGAATCGTGTTCTAGTTCTAATGGGCTTTTGATATACAGAGTGGTTTCATTTATAGACCAGTTGACAATATTATAAACGATATAATAAAACATTTTTCCTTTTAAAGTAGCATCTTTTGATAACATAATACTTATAAACGAAACGTGCTTGAAGTAGCTTATACTTGAAAGGAAAGAATTCGTTATCGGAAAAGCAATAAAAGAAAATTGAAGACTTGCACTACTAGAGCAAAAAGGATAGATGTAAGCTTGACCGAAAATTAGTATTAAATGAAGTCTACCTTGAATAATAATTTGTTTTTATTTGTTTTCAGATGACATAAAATGAGTGCTACCTCACCTAAACTATCTCTGGCCAAATTAGGATTATATCCCAGACCGAAAACTTTGAAAGTCATGATTTTGGGACAGGCTGGCGTTGGAAAATCGGGTAAGAATATACATTAAAAAAAAAACTAACTAGATAGCGAAAATATGCGACGAGAGTGTAACTTTTTTAATTTCGAGATGGGATGAGTGATGAATTCGAAATCCCTTATTCGTATTCCTACCACGAGCCATCATATCGGGTGGAAAATACTTAAAATTGAAAAAGTTTGCTTTGTGGGGAATGTTCGTTGGTGACGTTTTTTGCCTGTATTTCAGTCTCACGGAGACTGATTTTTTTCTGAGCTTGTTTTGAATAATTTGGCTTAAGTTTCATTGTAATTTTGATTCTATTACATTGCGGCATCAATAATCTTACTGCCAATATGAAGCCCAAGTAGAGATAGTAAGGTCATTCACCATCACGTGGCGTACCGGTGCAACCATCTACCATTCATCTGTCAGTGTCTAACCCAAGTGACGCCATCTATCAATGGTTAACCTACTCTGGACTACTTCCACCAATGAGGTAACTTCAACTAAACCCAAGTGACAATGAAAATAATGACAAGGCATTACTTGATTCTGTTTACCGCCATATCAAGGTTGTTGGTGAACAAAAGTTCGAGGTTGGTGACGTAGTTCACATATTCAAACATGTCTTCCAAAAATACTCCAAATTGTCTAGAATCGCTAAAATCCAACAACATATCTGTTAGAAGACTTGCAAGGCCATCCTATTAGTGAGGGTTTTTATGAAGAAGAATTACAGAAAACAAAACAATCTGATGTATTTCTCGTTGAAAAAGTATTACGAAAGAAAGGAAATAAGCTTGTTGCGAAATGGTTGGGATTTGATAAACCTCACAACAGTTATGGATCGATAAAACGAAAGATGTGGTTTGAAACTAGATTTCTTAGATTGCCTGGCTCATTTGCAAGTTTAAACCAATGAAATAGCGGGGGTAATACCTATATAAACACAATTTCTCTATTCTTGTATCACAGTTCCATTTTATTGCTTCTCGCCGCAGTGGTTCAAAATGTCCTCTATATACACGCACCATCAGACGTACGAAATATCAAGGCTCAGCTGAAAACGGATAGCTATTTCAACGATTTATGGATTCCGCTTTACTACCGCCTTATGGACAACGATCGTACACCTACTTTCCAGACAATACTTACAACATTCCAGAATAAATTCTACCAGTATAAATTGTAAGTAGAATTTCAAAATAAAAGTATTCTAACAAGCAGGGAATGCATAACTATCGGTATTGGACCACAGCAAGAAACCCTCGCCAAAATTTGGAATCTTCTGCAGAAACCAGACTATAAACTCCACTACAACAGAAAATATTTCCGATTAGAGACCTGATGCCTATACTTACTTAATCTAATACTTGTATAATAACCATAGCTGTAGTTTTTGGTATTTCATTGTCTAGAATGTTCTTATAACACCCTTTATAGGGATAATCAATGTAATTAGGATCAATAAATGAGATTTTATCGTAACGTGTGTGTGTGCGTGTGTGTTTTTTTATCCAACACACCGATTTTTCGGTGCCTAAATAATATACGCCCTGAATGGACAATAACTACGGTTTGAAGATGACACCATGAGATAATGAGCTGCGGTCAAATTCCGGAAAAAATCGCCAAATATTTGGAGTTAGTCCGGGTGAAATCCATGTAATTTCAGATCAAAGGCGCCGCCGATCTAGAGATTTTCCCACGGTATCGAAAAATTTCCCAGGCTCAGGTGCAACCCCGCTGGGTTGACAGATAACGTCAATTCGGTTTAAACCGAATTTTCGCGACGAATGTAGTTCATCCAACAAAGACGAACCATAGTGGGTCAGTGACGTCATGAGTTTGAACGCTGGCTAGAAGTTGCATCCAAGCTTCCGTCGAACTACGTTCAATATAATGTCATGAGTTTCTCGCGAAAGCGTTTGTGTTCAGAAAATCATGGAAGTAGTTCGTCCCGAAAATTCGGTTTTAGTTTAAGTATTCCGGAGTAGGTTAAGCATTGATAGATGGCGTCACTTGGGTTGGGCATTGACAGATGAACTGGTAGATGGTTGCACCCCCTTGCACCGGTGCGCGGTGTGATGGTGAATGAACTTACTATCTCTACTAGCCCATATACGTCACTGTTCCTATATTATTATTACATCAACAGTTTTTTTGAATTAAAAAAATTGGTGGGCCATACTCACATTTCACTTTACAAAATGTTTTTCGAATTGATATACTTAAAACCAAAAAACCCTACTGAAAACATCTATTATATCCCCATTCTCATGCGTAAAAAATACTAAAGCAGATGCTTAAAATTCCATTTGAATATAAGGAAAAAAAAAGGTTCATAAATCTTGAGAGAAAACATATCTGGTTTGGGAAATGGAGCATAAATTTCGTGCTGGCGTGGTTTTCAGGAAGATATAAGGGGTTAAGCTATCTATGTAGAATTGTTAATCGCGTACCTACATACATTTTATTTCTGATTCAAATTTTTCATTTGTGTTGTATGTATATTCATTGTTGTCCAGGAACAGATATTTGTCACACTACACATAATTCCATACTTGAAACAAGAGCATTGCCTAGAAGGCAAATACGTAATTCTAGTAAGACAACCCGAATTCAATCAAATTTGTACATACTAGATAAGGAGCAATACAATCTGAAGCAATATTATGCTTTGAGCCTTTAATGGCGGAAACCGATTAGAGATAATGACGAATATTGTTTTAAACCTACTTGCGTTAATTATAAGGATTTGTTAGCAAAGACACCGGCGGAATGTTTTCAAAGAAAAAGGACCACGAGCTTCACGCACAGCTAAATACAAGCAAAGGTAAAGGGATTCAAATTCATTTCAAACTTTTGCGAGTAGACTACCCAAGACTTGGACCGTTATAATAATAAGGAAATAACTGACGAAATAGAGAAGAATTCAATGAGAACTCGTTATTCTTTGATAGCAAGGGAATCCCTAGATATGACATTTGGGGAAAGACGGATAAGGAGAGCTGGTCCTATAGGATGGACACCTTATTCTCCTGACTTGAGAGTTCCAGACTTTTTTTTTCTTAGGTTATGTCAAGGAAAGATGCCGTAATCCTTTGCTCAAATAGCCTGGAAATTCTTGAACGGATCATTTGTAATATGATTGTAGCGATTCTCCAGGAAATGTCCCACAGTTCATTCAACCATTTACTGATTCATAATTGCCTGGAACAGAAAGGCATGCATATACAGTAGTTTTATGCAGTTTTTATAAACTTTTTATTAGGCAAACATAAGTTCCAAGCTTTGTGAATATGCGTTTGCAAAAATACCAAGATTTCGATTTTGATTTTTCACGGCTAAAACTTCGTACATGGATACCTTGAACATGAATCTTTTTTTTTGACGTTGTGATGTACAGGGTGTTCCATTAGAAATAGTGGAGAATTTCGACATATAGCTATCAAAAAAATTTGCAACCCATTAGAAAAAACTTTAGGCCAAGAGGAATCGAATGGCGCAAACCGCAGGTAGCTAGCACACCTGGTTCAAAAGTTATAAGCATTTGAAATGGATCACTCTCGGCTGGGACACCCTGTATTTATATGCGTTCAAATTTTATTAGTTAGTCACCAAGCGTGTGTCATCATATAACTCGGCATTCTTTGAGTTATTCGTCGTCACATGCTCACAACAAATCTGTTAACTCCGATAATCCAGGAAATTGCGACATAATTATTCGGTTTTAAAACAAATAAATATATTTCTTAGAAAAAAGAACGGTCAACGAATTGACATGAGCCGGAATATTTTTGGAGGAACGAAAATTATAAAAACAGCGGTTTTAGAAGTCTTCACATCAATCCAGTTGAGTCTCGAGTTTAAGTCTACAGTTCCTAATGAGTCAGTCCGGATAAAATTCGCGAGAGTTTCTTTTTTTTTGTTGCCTCGGGAAAACGCGTTAAATCAAATCTTTGAAAAAGTAACGGAAAATTGTGAAAGACAGACCATTTAAATTCGTTCAACATTATGTACGAGCTCTAAGTAATCGAAAGAATTAAATTAAATTAGTTTGGTGTGTTAAGGACGAAATGTAAGTACTCTAGTGACAAATTTTATTTTGACTTTATCAATGTTGAAATGACTATGAAGTGAATTGACTATGAAACTTTATTGCATAAATACTATTACCTTCGAGTGAATTGACTTTGAATATTTTTGTGCTTAGTATAGATAGAGAAATATAATTCAAATAACTGTTAGACTTTAATTGAATTGATATAGAGGATATAGTAGCTGCTCATTCAGCCTCATATAAATAAATAGACAGGCACCTTTCTTTTCATCAATATTTTGTTTTTCTGCGAAACTCTTACAGCAACATGAAACCTTATTCTCAAAGTCTGATTCAATCAAAACCACGATAGCTGGAAAGACTATTCGAGGCTTCAATTTACCTGCGGCATTGATAATGTCAATAAATATAAATTCAACTTGAAATAATAATTGGATTTTATATATGGCGTTGCCGAGTATTTCCAAAACTACATAAAATCTTCTGGATTGCATATTGCTTTCGATGTAAGCGAATTAATCAAACTGATAAGATTTGATAGGTAGAGATGGATCGGGATAAAAGAACTTTCAACGAAAAAAAAATCCAATTTCTTGTGCAAAATATTTAAAATTGATTTTGATGAATATAAAAAAATCCTCAATTCTGAATCCTGAAACAGAGACATATTCAAGGATAGGAAAAAATTTGCTTTACTTATCTTGCTCATGTATTTTTTTTCAGGCGACATAACAAATTTATCAAAACCAAATTTTCTCTACCCCATTTGTTTTGTAGCTATATTACCTAAATCAAAGTCTCTAAATATACATTTTAACATGAAAAATTGGATGATATTAAAATCAAAACCAAAAACAAACAGATATAAACATTCCAGTGTCAACAAAGCCTATTTTCACCACGTTCCGGGTCCCCCGGATTTTAAATTTGATTAAAAAGCGAGCCTGACAAGAGAGGCCAAATAACATGACTTGCAACCAGAAATTTCCAATATTGGTTTCTCATTGAAATAAAATCTGAAAATAGATACATAAAACGAACACCTTTTCGATCCCAAATACAACTGATAAAATTATGTAATATGTTTTCGACAAACTCTACTTAACCTTTGTTAATTTCCTTTGAGTTCACCAGTTACTGCTTTTTTTTATGTGAGAGGATCAAAGCAAGTAGGTACTGAATGGGTCTTTTTAATTAGTTTATTTTACTTCAAAAGAAATAAGTTTTATATAGATTTAAAGTTGCCAATGTTTGCAAAATCCCAAAATCTTATGCGCCATCAGAACGTTGCATAAATCAAATTTTACGTTGTTAATTATTTACGCGTCAAAAATTGTGAGCTCTTGAAAATTGAATTTACTCTTCAGTTCTCATCTTTTATTTAACGGGCTGTGAAAGTTAATTGGTTGAAATTTGTTATACAATTTAATACTTCATAAATTATAATATTGAGGTGATAATGTTAGTATTAAATTATTGATTTATCTTTATTCGAGACAACACAAAAATTTACAGCACTTCATTTTACTACAAACATGCTTTATTATTCATAAAAGTAAATTCTAACTCACTGTCTTTCTATTCAGATTAATAAGTCTGAAAACTATGGAGAAATCATTGATCTACAAATCAGGACATAACAGCTCTAATCAGGTTGCAGTGCGGAGAGGTCCATAACCCCAACCATCACAATCTACACTGTCTTCCTATCCCAACTGATTCTTGACACAGTGACTCCTTTCGCGGTCGACTCCGCTTTATAGTGCTTCGTTGATTCTAGAATTTTCCAATAACTTCGCTTCTATTTGTATCCGATTCGCAAATGTCCTAGTCATCAGGCAGTGTTGCTACATTATGCACAATTTCCTCGAGTTAAGAGATTGACGAAAATATTATGGGAAACATTATTTCTATGTATATAACCGATATCATAATATTCATAACATTAGTGGTCATTAAAGAGTGTTACGGGATGATTTTTCCTGGGAGGAAATAAGCGTATTCGCCTCTCTGAATAGCATACCTTCGTCAAGCCACTGTTTTCTTTCCAATAGTTGAGGCCACACTTTTCATCAAACTTTTTATTCCTTCCAGAATCATTGAGTTAGAGGTTGAATAATGGAATTGGTTTCCTTTTAGTAGGGTTTAAGTAAATAGTCAATTGATTTATTAATGAAAAAAATTACAATATTTACATTAGAACAGCTGATTGTCTGATCCGATTAGATTGATTAGATTGACAGCGTTCCAAGTAAGGTCAATGACGGGTACTAACTTAATTGAAATAAGTCCCATGCCCCAACTACCATGAAAATTCCCCAGAACCTGTCACCTTGGAGTTTTGACAGAACCTTTTTAAAGGACATTGAAGGATCAAGCAGAGGTCATTCAGGTCGAGGACTTTCCACGATTAAGTGTTCGTGAAAATTCCTCAGGCACATTTTGCCGATTTCTGAGTTGTCCAGATTTCGCTCATGGATCTAGGGTGACTAATCCATTATTTTAGCACCAAAGCACCTTGCGCGGATTTTTTTGGGAGCCGAAAAAGAGCAACGTGATCAATTGTTTGTTCCTAAAGGCCAAAGTATTTTGGTAAGTGGTTTTTCTTATTCGTCTTCTCTATGTTTCTCTATTGCCTATGTAAAAGCATAGTTTTCTGTAAATTATATGGTTAAATTCCGAGTATTGGACATACCTACCTATCGCTCCACACCCAGTCTCATAACGTGCATTTGTTTCAGGCCTTTTATTATTAGTCCTTAACTTTGAGTAAAGAGTTAAACGTTCAGCTTACTGTATATTTCAAGTCGTACCTCCTATCTTCAGCCTCCGCTAGAAAATTGGAAGCTTTATTGACTTCTAGTTACTGAACTTCAGTGCCCAGGGCCAGTTGCTTCCTGTCGCAGCCCTGATCCAGTCCCAGGCCATCGGAAACACTGGAAGGTATCAATCCAATCCTTCAGGTTCCCCTCAAGGGATTAGGAACTACTTAGGTTTGATAAGTGTGTTGTATTATCTTAATATCTGGAACCTATCAAACCTTACCAATTCCTTGTTGGAATAAATCCCTACAGCGACGCAGTCTTCTACAATATTAAATTTGCCCTTCAAGTTATGTGTTGTTATTTCAATTTTAATTAATTATTTATATTACCTTTATTATATCAAATTGGCCCTTCAGGTTATGTATTGTCACTTCAATTTTAGTTAATTATCTATAATACCTATTTTATCCCATAATATTAAATTTGCCCCTCAGGCTATGTATTGTTACTTCGACTTTAATTAATGATCTATATTTCTCTAATATCTCATAAATACATGCTGCACTGAATACAGGAAAATACTTGTACACTGGGGTTAAATGGCCATTTACGAAGGTACTGCATTTAGTAGGCTTGTCTATTAATTTACATTTCAGGTATTATTGCTGTTATAAGTGTTATACAATACTGTTTATTTCTTTATTTATGGACTCAAGTTGAGTTAAATTATTGTAAATACTATTTTTAGAACGTAAGGTTAGGAACTCCTAAGTCTGTTTTTTTTTTTAAATATAAAAGTCAAAATGACATTATGTTGGCAATACAATGTAAAATTGACAATGCTTTCAATTTTTTTATGTAGAAAAGGCTTGTGTTGCCAACATAGTTACTAAATTTTTGACTTGGGGAATTATCTTTAAATAAAAAACAAGCTTTCGTCGATTTATTTTGTTCTTCTTCGGGTTCCAGTGTTAATAATTTCCAGTATTCCAGGGCGTTCGAAAAACCCACTCCGAACCTGCTCTAGAGTCAAACCTGTTCTGGTTCTAATTGAAAACCCGTACCTGATTGTAGCAAAGCGTTTCACTTCTGTCCTTCCTTCTTGTGTACTTTTATATTTCAGGTTGTGCTGCTATAGGTCCGTAGAAGCTTCCTGCTTTCATTATATCGGTTGACTTCGTGTACCTACTGCAGGGAAAAGCAGGTGGCGCTCTATATTTATTTATTTAATTGATCCACACCTCTCTCCGCATTGGAAGCTAGTCGGCAACACTTCACACGAAGTCCCGTTTCTAGATTTCAGCCACGAACCAACCCTCTCTTTTTATTTTTTTTTTGCTTTAGTTACCCATTCACTGTCTCACTTCCTCAAAGTTTATTATTTATTTTTCAATCGTGTTTTGCGGGAAATAAGAGAAATGAAAATATATAATTAATTAATAGATAAACCAAGCTCGTCTTAGTAAAACGTAATTCTTTACAAACAAGGTAAAGCATAATATCTTTATATGAGGACCTGCCCGACTTTCCAAGAAACTGTGTCTTGTCAATTAAGCGAGAAACTGGATCTTTCTGTTGCTCAGTTAAGCTAGCCAATATAGGTACCTACTCCTGTTTAGAGGCTAAGTTAATTATTATATCCAATTACGATGGAATTACCCAAGGAATAAAATAATGTTTTCATAAATTAAATGAAATATGTAACTGAAACAAGAAACAATGTTAATTGCTATTGAAATTCTAGAAAAATAAGCCATTTTGTTTGTGTTGTATCACAGCGAATAACATTGCTTCCGAAAATATAACTTTGGCAACATTTTCAATAAAAAAATAAATTCTCGTCAATAATATTTATACTTACGTGCACACGTTGAAAAGCTTTTATAATGTGTCGATATGTTTCCAAAGTAATATGGTGTATTTAACACATTTTAAATCAATCACAACAATTTATTACTTTTACAACAAAATGCAGCTTATTAAGACAGACTTCATTTTCTTTTGTTAGTAAAACTCATATAATCTACAAAAGCCTGTTTACTTTGTCAGTAGAGTCTCGTCTGAAAAACCAGGATTAAGTGTCTCGCTATGGGGCTTTCATTTTACTCGGAAACATTGGGAAGAAAATAAAGCCAATAGAAATCAAAACAAAATGTCTTATACTTGGAAATTATTGCAGGATACTTTATTTAAATTAATTTTAAAGCTGAAAGGAGATTGAAGAGTGGTTTCAATTTAACTTTTCAATATTTTCTTATAAAGGTTAAAGTTGCCTTACCAGATTTGAATTTAAATGTTATACATCCTCAAATTATTTTCCTAAAAACTGTATTGTTTATCTATTGAATTACCCAATCAAATTCAAATACTTTCCAATACAATTTCAAGGGTTCTTTCCACAATGCTTCACACTCGAATACCGCCTAAACTTTAGGAAAATATGTTAATGGAAACAACGCTAGCGCTTAAACTTGTACAATAGCGTTAAAGAACTTTGTTAAAACAAACTTTTGTTTGCCGCCTTGGCTCAAAACCTTTTGTATTATGTCCTGAATATTATACAGCTGCTCTAAAAGTAGGTAATACATACTTAGTTTTGAAGAAACAGTCTTGAGGAATTGGGAACATGATAATTATATTATTCACGGATTCATGGATGCTCTGCTTTCAGGAAAGTGTTGACAATAGTAATATAAAATATCAACTGGAAAAATAATAATGTTCTCACCCAGTATCTTTCTATTTTTGTTATAAAGCTCTTACGAGTTCTTATACGAAACTAATTAAAGCTTCTCAAAAAATTAAAAACAAGGGAACAAAATTAATTAAAACTGTGAATATTTCAAGCTGAATAGTTTTGAGTTCAAACTATGATGATTAAACAGTAATTTAGGTCTTTTAAAAAAACTTTATTTACTTCCAAGAAACTGCAATAATATCGTTTTAATATACTAAGGTGTTACAGAAAGTTGAAAACTTCCTCAATATCAGCATTTTCTCAGTAGACTGATTAATAAAGTTAAAGTTCCAAGCCATCGAAACGACTTCCTGTCCCAAGGGCAGATTCGCTAAATGAGAGCCCTTAATAAAATACGTAGTAGCGTGGAAAATAAAACATTTTAAGATAAAAAGGGTTAATAAATATATAAGATGGAATTGACTAAGACAATTCAACTAACTACATCCAGTAATCCTGGTAAGTTCCTGAGGACAAACAATTTCCTCAAACTCTACATCCGGATTCTCGACTCCGAGCCAGTTGAACCTCCATCTACAACCTGCTTGATAATCTGATGGCAACTCATCACATTCCTATAATCACCCATTATTACAAAATGTCTCATAAAAATATTCCAAACTTACTTCAACTGTTGCTACCCCTGAAATCGGGCTTCCCCATCCTCCTAGCGGTGCATTCCATTGATTCCAACAACCAAAAGTAGCTGGTCCAGCTCCGCCGCCGTGCATTGCAATATCGAAGTGATTGTGGAACAAAGGTCCACCAGTATTGGTGATTTGGGCGATTAATTGTTTGCCGAGAATTTTTCCTTGGAATTTTAGTAAGACGCAGGAGCAGCATTTGGAATTGTCATCACCACCTGACATTTCGAAATTGGAGCTAAAGATATGAGAACTTCAAGGCTACAGAAAACTTAACTTCATTGAGCTTAAATTGAAGTTAATTTTCTGATTCAAATACTTATGATATTACCTTTGAATGATGCAGCAACAAACCCATAACTGATAGTTTCATTATAAGCCCATGGTCCTTGATCAGAACACATATACGAAGCCTTTGTACTGTTTAAATAGCATCCAGTTTCTTGTTCGATATCGCAGGTACTTCTGCCATCCTGTGTGCAGGATCGTACCGGTACCGTTTTTCCGCTTTCGCCAAGGTTCTCCCACCAAGCACAGCTCGGCTTGCAACAGTCCCAGTAATGGGTTGTTATTCCGGAACCGCTTATTCCTCCTGGTACTGGAATGATTTCGGGTTCAGCGCAGGCATAAGCTGCCACTGAAAAATATATTGAATAAACACAAATTTTTATTACAAGATAATTCACATATGTAATTGGAGATTATGTAAATATTTTGGAAAGTATATCTAGGCCCACACAAAAATGTATTTTGAAATAATTAGCCTATTATTGGAAATTTATATGAATTCTAATTTTGAATTTACGATATGTTGCAGAAAACACAATATTAATATAGAAATGAACCTAGTTTATACGAAACGATATTTTCTTTTCTGGCAACATACCAAGAAATACTTCAGTGAAAATCAAGTTGCATCAAATAAATGGGAAATTAATTGTGAAACTTGAGAGTTATTCGTTTAATTTTTATTTCATCTTTACGGGAAAGAAAATATATTTTGCAGAAGTTCAAAATAATTTAACTCAATTATTTTTGTAAGAAGAAACTTAATTGAGTGAAAATTGAAAATATTTAAAAATAAATTCAGAGTTATACTAATAGCATTCATTAAAGTTTAAAGGTTGATCGTTATTTAAAGCCAGGTGGGATTTATTGAAATTTATTGCCTTTATGCAAAATGAAAATAATACATTTTTCATCATTAAAAAACTCGAAATTAATACTTACAAGTGATAACAAGCAGTACAAACGAATACATTTTGATTTCGAATCTATTATGACATACATTGTTCATATTTATATTTTCTAGTAGGTATCTTTAAGTGTCCTATTGAGATAATTCAAAATGGAAAGCATAAACAAAAGATCGAATTGTAAAAATGCATATCAATCGATTCTAATATTGTTTTTTCACTTTAACAAAAAAACCTACCTTATTCGTATCAAGCTCATTCCCAAACTCAATACCTTCCTAGATAGAGCATTTTATAATTTTTCAGAGGGTTTATTAGGAACTTTCCAAAACAACCTCATAAACCAGTCCCAAAAAAATCTATTTTTTTCCAAAAACCACCCTGTAACTTGGACAAGAATTTTTTTTTCGAAAAAATCCAATAAGTTTCCTATGAGATGCTCAAGTTTCAACCCTACATAGAGGATGTTTGAATGAAATTGGTTATTTTCAAGTATGACAAAAGCTGCATTTAAAACTAACTTTAGAGACCTGCAGACTCGAGATTATAGTTAACTTCGACGCTTCGTCTCTCGACAGTAATGAAACACTTTCCACCTCTGTATGTAATATACTATTTCCAGAGCTTCCCAAAATAGACAAATTTTCCCTCCAAGTTGATGCATCCACCATTGGTACCACAAGATAAAGCTGAGGGTAAATTAAATCCAAGGAATTCTTGAGATGTTTAATTGAAACTTTTTAAACGAGTTTCAACCTATCCGGATTTCTATCTTAAAATGTTACCCTTTCAACACTCTCCTATAAACTTATACAGGTCTCTGCCTAAATTCGGCAAAGTGTTGATAGGGATGGACACACAAATTTGGTATACACCGACTCCATTTAGATGTCCAATAATCCCACACTAACAATTGATTCCGAAAATCAAAGCAGCAACACTTATCTATTTGCCAAAACTCTGAATTGACTCTCCTCAGGAAAACGTGATACCACACAAAATGGAGGCTCACAATGGCTAAGAAATTAGTAAAACAACTCTCAGTCTTCTCCACAATTCCTTATGTAAAATTCAGTTTTGTAATTTTACTACGAGTACATGTTTCGGATAATGTATATCCATCTTCAGCTCTAACATGAAATGAAACTGATATGAGTTTGAGGAAAACTCAGCTAATAAATGGGTTTGCAGGTTATCATAAACATCTTGAATCTATGTACTTCAAAAACTCATAAACCAGTCTCAAAAAAATCTATTTTTTTTTCAAAAATCACCCTGTAACTTGGACAAGAATTTTTGTTTCGAAAAAATCCAATAAGTTTCCTATGAGATTCCCAAGTTTCAACCCTACACAGAGGATGTTTGAATAAAATTGGTTATTTTCAAGTATGACAAAAGCTGCATTGAAACTAACTTTAGAGACCTGCACACTCGAGCTAACTAAAAAACTAATCTCTCCACAGTAATGAAACACTTCCCACCTCTGTATGTAATATACTATTTCTAGACTTTCCCCAAATAGACAAATTTTCCCTCCAAGTTGATGCATCCACCAATGGTACCACAAGATAAAGCTGAGGGTAAATCAAATACAAGGAATTGTCAAAATTCTTGAGATGTTTAATTAAAACTTTTTAAATTAATTTTAACCTATCCGGATTTCTATCTTAAAATTTTACTCTTTCAGCACTCTCCTATAAACCTATACAGGCCTCTGCCTGGATTCGACAAAGTGTTGATAGGGATGGACACACACATTTGGTTTACACCGACTCTATTTAGAGCAAATGGTCCAATAATCCCACACTAACAATTGATTCCGAAAACCAAACCAGCAACACTTATTTATTTGCCAAAACTCTGAATTGACTCTCCTCAGGAAAACGTGACGCCACACAAAATGGAGGCTCAAAATAGATAAAAAATTAAAATATAATATTTATTTATCAAGAACAACAAGAAACAACTCTCAGTCTTCTCCACAATTCTTTATGTAAAATTCAGTTTTTTAATTTTACTACGAGTACATGTTTTGGATAATGTATATCCATCTTTAGCTCTAAAATGAAATGAAACTGATATGAGTTTAAGGAAAACTAAGGCACAAGATGTTTGTGATAACCTGCAAACCCATTTGTTAGCTGAGTTTTCCTCAAACTCATATCAGTTTCATTTCATTTTAGAGCTGAAAATGAATAAACATTATCCGGAACATGTACTCGTAGTAAAATTACAAAACTGAATTTTACATAAAGAATTGTAGAGAAGACTCCACTGTGAGAAAAATGGACTATTTTTTCAATTTATAATATTTATATTTTAAAGGTAGATAAGAGACGATTTCGCCACGTTTTGGTAACCCACTTTGGTTGGTCAAGAATGTACCAACCAATTTCGGCACAAAAAACAATGACGTCACGATAACTTTGGTATCTATTTTGGTATGTCAAATTGGGTACCGAGCTTGGAGCACGGTTATTTGAATTGGTTTTTTTTTTGTTTATATTAGAAATTAAACACAACAGATGAACACAATTAATTTTCACTATTCCCAATTTTAATTTTCAACCATAAAAAGTTTTCAGTAGTTTGTTTATTTTTATTTTCTCAGGCATACCATCACCCTCACGTCATACACGTGACATTTGACAAACCGGTTGAAAATGGTATGCGACTTCACTGTTGTGACGAATAGCCTACCCAGCGGTTAACCAATTTACCTACCAACCAAAACTTGGCGAAATCGTCTAAGATAAGATTTATCACGTAATAAAAACCCAACAGTGATAATAGACACTGATGATGAAATAAATTGAAAAAATATTAAGGGAAAATCCAGAAATCTGAAGAAAAAAAAAAAGTGAAAATCGACCTGCCTGATCAACGGTCTGGAAAGGAAGAGGCCTTTTTAGAACCAAATCCCTTGAAAAAAATCAGTCTCGTATTTTTTTTATACTTAACTGCGTAGTAACCATCGACCAGTCAGAAGACAACACTCAACACACACAAAAGTCCGGTTCACTTCATCAATGAAACATCACGCTGATTGAATGGGGATAGATAAAAACACACTAGAATCATTCTGATTGTTTAAAAAATTATAAACACAAAACCACTAAGTTATTAGGTCATCAAGTTTGTGCGAAATTAAAACTGGAAAATCCACAGGTTGCTGATAGAATGGTAATCGATGAAAGATTTTAAGTTGAAATTGAAAGATATCGAAACTGAAAAGGATATTTTTTCACCCTACCTGGCTTTACTTCCAAACTCCACTCAGTTAGCCAGCTCCTTCAGGAAGTTCAAATCCAATGTGAAGGAGTACAAACGAAACCATGTTGATTCAACGGGTCGCGGAAAACGAAAAAACCGCAGGTCTATTTTCTCGTATCATACGAAGCGGACGGAGTGTTTTTGGCGACTGATTTACTTGTCGGTAGTGTAGGGACTTTTCAGATATCCTTTTTCAGTGTTTAACGCGCGCATTCTTAAAAGCCAAATTTAGCAAAGCCGTATCAATTTTTATAGGCATATGGCATATAGCACGCGCAATTCAATTAGAATAAAAGAAAACAAAAATAAAGAGAAAAAACAAAACGAATCAATTTCCATTCCCAAATAGGATTTGACATCCTAAATACCCAATTTAACTTATAACTATATACAGGGCGCGTAGACGAAACTGAACAAAGTTAAAAACAATCATTTCAGAATCAGGAGTTAGAGAAAGACAGAATAATATATTCTGAATGAAAATTCAAAAACGAGCCGAAGGCGAGTGTTGGAATCATTCGAGTGAATAATAGTCATTATTTTCGAGTAGAAAACTATACTTTCTCTTCGAACTTCTTGAAAGAAAATCATTAATTTTTGTAAGAAATAACCATCATCAATAGTCTTTTTTTTTTAAAACGAAAGTTCCGTGATCTGACAGTAGACGTCAGTCATATTTTGTTTGTATTATCTCGTTGCGGCCCATACGGAGAATTTGATTGGTCGACAGACCGTGGATTCTGATTTGGAGTCCACGGAGCGTGTAGAATTCGTATCATTATTATTCAGTTTAATATCGAGAAAAAATGAATGTAATATTTATTTTTCGAAACGAAATGTACTTATTTGCTGAAAGCAAGATAAACATAATTTCTTCAAATGAAAATACCAATGACTGTCAATGATGAATAATAAAAATAGTTAAAGAAACCTATCACAATTTAAAGAAAAATGGCGGAAATACAATCTTATAATGAAAATTTTAAGAAATGGAATATGTTACGAAAATGATAAATTTATCGTAACACACTTGGATGGGAATTTGGCCGAAGTAAGTTGGCAGCCAGTCTACTTACTTGAACGTTAGGACCTATCCAATTGGACTTGGATAAACAGTTGATATATACGATCCAAATATTATTGTCTAAGTGAGGCCAAGGATACTTGATTCAAGTACACTTGGACCGTGTTAACCTGGTTGCAATTTCAAAGTTTGAGCCTTATACAATGAGTTTAAAAAACAAATTGATATTTTCAAAAGTTTAACAAAGGCTGATAGGTAGTCCAATTAATATTTCATGAAATCTCGAATATCACATCAAAGGAAAAACGGTAGGTAACATCTAAAATATTAATTGGAAAATATAATAAATTTCTCATTCATTATATCATCGTTTGTAATATAAAGCCCTTTTCGAGTTCCTATACAAAACTAATTAAAACTTCTTAACAAATCTTAAATAAGCAAAGCTAGTTAATTAAAGCTGCAAATTTTTTTGAGCCAATAAATTTCACGGTTTACATAATTTTCTGGAAGATAACCGGCTTAAGACAATTTCAGGTTCAAGCTATGTTGATTAAACTTTTCGAAAAGTGCTTTGTTTTCTTTCAGGAAACTGGTAAAATAAGTTCCTTCTTTTTGAATCCCAAATAAATTAAAATCTTCCTCAATACAAAAATTTTGTAAGTAGATCGGTTGATTAGTCATCGATTCTCTAGCAACCGAAACATAATAATGTCAATTTTGGAAAAAAGATTTAATAGATGTGGTGGAATAAAACAAATATTTATTTCAATTAATTGAACTATTTACATCCAGTAATCCTGGTGAGTTCATGAGGACAATAAATTTCTTCAAATTCCACATCCGGATTATCCACTCCAAGCCAGTTGAACCTCCATCTGCATCCTGATTGAAAATCTGATGGCAATTGGTCACATTCCTATAATCACACCATTATATCAAATGAAAATATCTCAAAATTTCATCTGAACTTGCTTCAATTTTTGATACTCCTCCATTGGGCTGTCCCCATCCTCCAAACGGAGCATTCCATTGATTCCAACAGCCAAAAGTGGCTGGTCCAACTCCGCCACCGTGCATGGCAATGTCAAAGTGATTCTGGAACAAAGGTCCGCCGGTGTTGGTGATTTGCGCGATTAGTTTTTTACCTAGAAGTGCTCCTTGGAATTTTAGCACGACGCAGGAGCAGCATTTGCTGTTGTCGTCACCACCTGAAAATTATGTAGATTTTGTACAAATATTTGATGAATTTTGAGAATATCACCTTTGAATGATGCAGCAACAAATCCATAGCTGATAGTTTCGTTATAAGCCCACGGTCCTTGATCAGAACACATATACGAGGCCTTTGTACTATTCAAATAGCATCCAGTTTCTTGTTCGATATCGCAGGTACTTCTGCCATCCTTAGTGCAGGATCGTACCGGTACCGTTTTTCCGCTTTGTCCAAGGTTCTCCCTCCAAGCACAGCTCGGCTTGCAGCAGTCCCAGTAACGCGTTGTTATTCCGGAACCGCTTTTGCCTCCTGGCACTGGAACGATTTCTGGCTCGGCGCAGGCATAGGCTGCCACTGGAAAATATTTATTTTATTTGTTTTAAAATAATACATTTCTCATCATTGAATAAGTCAGAGCTAAAACTTACAAGCAAAAATAAGCACTATAAACGAATTCATTTTGACTTCTAATCTCTGTTATTGCAGTTTGTTCAATTTATATTTTTTGTAGCAGTTATCTGTAAGTATCCTATCGAGATAATTAGAATAGTAAACAAAAAAGCAAGTTTTCACCTATATATTCCCAAAAAATTGATTATAATAACAATAGTTATTTCTGTCATTCAGCCAAGAAGTGAGTCTTTTTGTGCCGACCTCAAAATTTGAGCAAACAAAATAGGTATCCAGTTTCCCATATCTATTCAATTCCACCAGCTGTGAATTTGTCTTTGTTTTGCAGTCAGAGAGCCTGAAAGATCTTGAACTCTAAATGACAATTTAATCTTGGATCGTTTTACATAGTCCATATTTTGATTTCTGGTCGAAGTTTTGTTGGCGTTTCGGGTTAGTTTAGGATTTATGGATACAATTTTGCAGCGATGGAGAGTGAATGCTTGCCATGTTGTTGCTATTGCTGTGATGCCGAAACTGATTGATTATGAACTTTGTTGTGGTTTTGTTCAATTAGTATCCCAGTTGTCACCATGACTAACCTAAATAATTTAAATAGAAAATCTTTCTCCAAGAGGGTTTGCTCAGAGCATGTGAACCTTGCACAAAGGTAATTGTTAGCAATTTTTCTTGGACAGTATCATGTTTCATGTGCCTTGCCTCTCCGTTCTAAGATTGTGCAGTTTGGTAGTCATCAGTTGATGAAATTTTTTCACATACCTACCAACCTATTAAACACAATAAATGAACCCAAAGATAGTTTAAATTCAATTATGATGCGATGCACTTCACTTTTAACCTTCAACATGAGCATGCTTTTGTTTTTTATTTAAACGCACGTGTTGTTATTACTAACATGATAGTCGGCGTCATCGATATCATAATTTTTGTTATCGTTGTCTAAAATTTCGAGATCTTTCTCATATCTATATAGTTTCATAATCTCGACATAATATTTGCTAGTGGAAAAAAAAATTGTCAGCGAAATAATCACGGGGTGAATGGGTAAATCATGATGTTGAGGCAATGCTGTTACTAATACTTAACTAAAACTGGCTTGAAAATGTAGCATAGTCATCGATCGTAGACCAGAAAATGTAACATTTATTTTACTAAAAAGTTCTGTTTTGTTCCAGCAATGGTTGTCAGATTCATCACACGAAGATACATTGGCGAATACGATCCAACCTTGGAAAAAATCTACTCCTTTCACACTGTTATCGACAACGAGATGGTGTATTTCGACATCCTGGATACAGCTGGTCAACCGCCAGTAAGTATTGAAATTTTTATCATTGTGGAAAAGGAAACATTTTCTAAGCAATCTATAAATCCGTAAGGCGAACTAATACCATTTATCTTACTAGTTACTGTGGCATTATTTCTATTACCAGGAAAAACGAGTTTCGTGTTTTGTCTGAAGTCTAAATAAATTCCGGATAGTTTTCTAGAAAAATATAATGGATTTCAAGGAGTTCTTTTTGAAAAGTTCAAGAGATTTATTTCCAGTTAGGATTTCCAGCGATACGATACATCTTTTCAGAATCAGCAGCATAATAAACGAATTCAATTTCACATAAAAGCTAGTCACAAAAAAAAAAGAAGATGTGCTTATGTGCTATGTCAGGTGCACACTTTCAAATTTATTCGATACAAACTTTGAGAATACATGGAATATATAAAAGTTATCTTGTGTAGGTTGTCATGACAAAATATCTCCTTTCGCCTACTACTTAAGTATTTGAGCCTTTCAATTTTATAAGATTTCTTTTAAGTGCTTTTCATTCTTCATTTAATTTTTCTTTTTTAGCAGCTTTTACTGTCCACTTCTCTAAAGTACACTTATCGTTTGGAAAGTCGCCCTTAGTTAGTTAGCCGGTCTGCCGGAGGGTACTGAGGTCCCATACCGGATGCTACCCAGTTATAGTTGTTATTTTGAGCCAATATCTATTTCCTTTGTTTGGTAGGATATTCGCTCGTCAGGGTAGGAAAATGTTAGTAAATTCAACAAGGCTGTAATGCACGTTCTGAATATACAGAATCAAAATCTCAGCACAAAAAGACAGCACATAATTTCTTAGGTTTTAATTTACTTCTTTATCCGTGTTGTTTACAGCATGAAACGATTTTTGTTAAATACATGAACAATGCACATGTTATAAAAAATGTTAAAAAAAAAACAAACAAAAAAACATAAAAATGAAAAAAAAAAGATACTTGTATAAATAACTGAACTGTCAAAAACAAAATAACAATTATTCAACTGACCTATGATCGCTTCTTGACACACGCACTAATAACAAATTGGATTGAACAATCAGTTCGATGTAAAATAAAAATAAAAATTGAATAATGAATCATTTCAGACGTGCGATACGCGTCTAAGGGACCAGCCTCAGCTTGTTCTCTAGTCTAGTTGCGTATTCTCTATCTCCCGTTCAGTTCGGTACCTTTCTGTTGCAACGCGCTCTCGTTCTCATCAATTCCACAGAGCATTACATGGTTGCAACATTTACTTTTATTCATTGAACGGTTTTTAAAAAGTTAAGATTCAAAGAAATAATATTTTAAATAGGTGGTTTTCCTCAGTACCTAGCTATTTGTGTTCTTTTTTATTCTTGTTTTTACGATCCATTAATAGTTCTGTAAGTGTTCGTGCAATAATTTTACATGTTTCGTTCATTGTCTTACGACTCTTGATTCTTCTATTCTTGTATTCTTATGTGAAGTAATATTGTATTTATGAGAGCTCTTAACACGGTCGTTACGATGTGAATCATTATGTTTGAAAAATATTGAGGAAAACCACCTATTTAAAATATTATTTCTTCAAATCTCAACTTTTTAAAAAATCGGTTACTGAATAAAATTAAATGTTGCAACCATGTATGCGCCGTACAAGTTTATAGGAACGAGCGCGCCACAGAAAAATGAAGGTACCGAAAACCGAAGAGGCTAGAAGAGAAGAGACGATTAGGCATTGGAAAAACGAGAGAAGAAGCTGGCGCTGTTCCTTTAGACGCGTGTCTGAAATTATTCATTATTCAATTTTCATTTCTATTTTGCATTAAAATTAATTGTTCAATACAATTTGTTATTAGTGTGTGTGTTAAGGAGCGATCACCAGGTCAGTTGAATAATTATTATTTTGTTAGAGAGATTTTTTTCAGGTAATGACCAACGTGAATACAGGAACACAACAGTCCTGTTTGGGAATCGACCCACTGAGCAGTGGACCCAGACTTCCCGTGCCAATCCTTGACGCGTTTCGTCCTTGTTAGGACTCATCAGAAGGACATAGGCTGAAGCTCCCTGTCCAAGCAAAATTGAACTTCGTTGACCAGTCAGAAACAACTACTCCGAGGGCAAACACCCCTACCGGCGTTGAACTACACTGATTGTTCTGAGCTTTCGTTGGCAATGAAAATTGTTAGAGAGATTTTTTTTTCAGGTAATGACCAACGTGAATACAGGAACACAACGGTCCTGTTTGGGAATCGACCCACTGAGCAGTGGACCCAGACTTCCCGTGCCAATCCTTGACGCGTTTCGTCCTTGTTAGGACTCATCAGAAGGACATAGGCTGAAGCTCCCTGTCCAAGCAAAATTGAACTTCGTTGACCAGTCAGAAACAACTACTCCGAGGGCAAATACCCCTACCGGCGTTGAACTACACTGATTGGTCTGAGCTTTCGTTGGCAATGAAAATTGTTAGAGAGATTTTTTCGGTAATGACCAACGTGAATACAGGAACACAACGGTCCTGTTTGGGAATCGACCCACTGAGCAGTGGACCCAGACTTCCCGTGCCAATCCTTGACGCGTTTCGTCCTTGTTAGGACTCATCAGAAGGACATAGGCTGAAGCTCCCTGTCCAAGCAAAATTGAACTTCGTTGACCAGTCAGAAACAACTACTCCGAGGGCAAATACCCCCGTTCAACGCCGGTAGGGGTATTTGCCCTCGGAGTAGTTGTTTCTGACTGGTCAACGAAGTTCAATTTTGCTTGGACAGGGAGCTTCAGCCTATGTCCTTCTGATGAGTCCTAACAAGGACGAAACGCGTCAAGGATTGGCACGGGAAGTCTGGGTCCACTGCTCAGTGGGTCGATTCCCAAACAGGACCGTTGTGTTCCTGTATTCACGTTGGTCATTACCTGAAAAAAATCTCTCTAACAATTTTCATTGCCAACGAAAGCTCAGACCAATCAGTGTAGTTCAACGCCGGTAGGGGTATTTGCCCTCGGAGTAGTTGTTTCTGACTGGTCAACGAAGTTCAATTTTGCTTGGACAGGGAGCTTCAGCCTATGTCCTTCTGATGAGTCCTAACAAGGACGAAACGCGTCAAGGATTGGCACGGGAAGTCTGGGTCCACTGCTCAGTGGGTCGATTCCCAAACAGGACCGTTGTGTTCCTGTATTCACGTTGGTCATTACCTGAAAAAAAATCTCTCTAACAATTTTCATTGCCAACGAAAGCTCAGACCAATCAGTGTAGTTCAACGCCGGTAGGGGTATTTGCCCTCGGAGTAGTTGTTTCTGACTGGTCAACGAAGTTCAATTTTGCTTGGACAGGGAGCTTCAGCCTATGTCCTTCTGATGAGTCCTAACAAGGACGAAACGCGTCAAGGATTGGCACGGGAAGTCTGGGTCCACTGCTCAGTGGGTCGATTCCCAAACAGGACCGTTGTGTTCCTGTATTCACGTTGGTCATTACCTGAAAAAAAATCTCTCTAACAATTTTCATTGCCAACGAAAGCTCAGACCAATCAGTGTAGTTCAACGCCGGTAGGGGTATTTGCCCTCGGAGTAGTTGTTTCTGACTGGTCAACGAAGTTCAATTTTGCTTGGACAGGGAGCTTCAGCCTATGTCCTTCTGATGAGTCCTAACAAGGACGAAACGCGTCAAGGATTGGCACGGGAAGTCTGGGTCCACTGCTCAGTGGGTCGATTCCCAAACAGGACCGTTGTGTTCCTGTATTCACGTTGGTCATTACCTGAAAAAAATCTCTCTAACAATTTTCATTGCCAACGAAAGCTCAGACCAATCAGTGTAGTTCAACGCCGGTAGGGGTATTTGCCCTCGGAGTAGTTGTTTCTGACTGGTCAACGAAGTTCAATTTTGCTTGGACAGGGAGCTTCAGCCTATGTCCTTCTGATGAGTCCTAACAAGGACGAAACGCGTCAAGGATTGGCACGGGAAGTCTGGGTCCACTGCTCAGTGGGTCGATTCCCAAACAGGACCGTTGTGTTCCTGTATTCACGTTGGTCATTACCTGAAAAAAATCTCTCTAACAATTTTCATTGCCAACGAAAGCTCAGACCAATCAGTGTAGTTCAACGCCGGTAGGGGTATTTGCCCTCGGAGTAGTTGTTTCTGACTGGTCAACGAAGTTCAATTTTGCTTGGACAGGGAGCTTCAGCCTATGTCCTTCTGATGAGTCCTAACAAGGACGAAACGCGTCAAGGATTGGCACGGGAAGTCTGGGTCCACTGCTCAGTGGGTCGATTCCCAAACAGGACCGTTGTGTTCCTGTATTCACGTTGGTCATTACCTGAAAAAAAAAAAATCTCTCTAACAATTTTCATTGCCAACGAAAGCTCAGACCAATCAGTGTAGTTCAACGCCGGTAGGGGTATTTGCCCTCGGAGTAGTTGTTTCTGACTGGTCAACGAAGTTCAATTATTATTTTGTTTTTGAGAGTTCAATTTATGCAAGTTCCTATTATTTTGTTCATTTTTATGTTTTTTATTTGTTGTTTGTCGTTTCATGCTGTAAACAACACAGATAAAAAGTAAATTTAAACCTAAGAAATTATCTGATGTCTTTTTGTGCTGAGATTTTGATTCTGTGTATTTAGAGCGTGCATTAGAGCCTTGTTGAATTTACTAATATTTTCCTACCCTGACGAGCGAATATCCTACCAAAGAAAGGAAAGAGATATTGGCTCAAAATAACAGCTATAGCTGGGTAGCATCCGGTATGGGACCTCAGTACCTTCCGGCAGACCGGCTAACTAACTAAGGGCGACTTTCCAAACGATAAGTGTACTTTAGAGAAGTGGACAGTAAAGGCTGCTAAAGAAGAAAAATGAAATGAAGAATGAAAAGCACTTAAAAGAAATCTTTTTGTGCTGAGATTTTGATTCTGTGTATTTAGCAATGACATCAAAACACAGATAGACCGAACAATAAACAAAATTTTCGTATGACAACATCTCTCTGTCTCTTTTGGGTCTTTGTGCTATCCCCACCACTGAGAATGCCAAATTTTGTCTTGAATCCCTAAATAATATATTTTTCTCCTCTAATTAACATTTTCAATTTTATTTCTGAACTCAATTTGGCAACAGCAGATTATAGCAAAACACCGCCCAGAAGCGGCTTGTTGAATGGCAGGCAGGTGTTGATTGTAGTAGCTAGCTATCTTTATTGCAAACAGGGATTATTCATTAGCGTTAAACAAGAAACGACTAACACTGGCCCAGAATAAAGGGCTCGTATCGAATATTTTCAGTTTATTTGTCAATTTGTTATTTTATTTATTCATCCAATTAAATTTCGAGATATATTCACGTGTGGGCGGGGTTTTTTACACCATTTTGAGCAATGATATCTCCCTACCCCGACCCCGCGAGCAACTCACCTCCCATGGCCCATGGGTGGTCTTGTCAACACAACAAATAATAGTTAATGAATGGGATGATCCGTCTATCTGTGTTTTGATGTCATTGGTATTTAGAGCGTGCATTAGAGCCTTGTTGAATTTACTAACATTTTCCTACCCTGATGAGAGAATATCCTAGCAAATTCAAAAAAATCAATCTAGAGATATTGGCTCAAAAACAACTATAGCTGTGAGTTACGTAACCAGGACCTCAGTACCCGCCACAGATGGGCTAACTAACAAAAACTCTTCAGTATTGATTACAGGTAGTGTTGATTGTATGTAGTGTGTGTAATTAAAATTTTAGCACAAGAACAGGGGCGGTACCTAATTTAAACTTTTATTGACCTAAATTATTGAATTAATGACTCACAATTCTTATTAAAATGACACAGTATGTTTCGATTTTTGAGGAATGTTAGACCGAGGGTTTCTCTGCCGTGCTCTCTCCCCTCGTTAGTTCCAGGTCGAGAACGGTACGTTTTTCTTTGATAATAAAGGAGACGTTTCACAAATCTTTCGTTTCTTTTACATATCACAACTTTCCTTAAATTTCCCAAATATTTGCTATGTCGGGCGCATGTCCAGTAAGTAAAATTGAGTAAGTTTCCACAACGTAGGTCCTATTTGTTTTTCATTTCATTTTTCAGAAGATTTGTTGTTTAAAAGGTAATAAAAATTCTCATCGTTCAATCTTACTGAGCGAACCTGGGTATGTTATACTACAATATTATTGTTCAACTTATAAGACTGAGCTATTTCCTTGAGATATTTTTGCTTGTGCTCATCTTCACATTTCAAAATAACCTTATTTTCCCCTGAATGAATCCCTTATTTCCTATTCCTATTCGATTTCTTCCTTTTATCACACCATCTACAATAATATATCATCAACTCTGCACAAACAATTGAATGTTACAAGACAAAATACTCTGCAAAAACTTAAAAAATTTGTTAATTTAAGATTGTTTTTTTTTTTTTAGGAAAACGACTGCTTAGGCCTAGAAGCCAACATCCGATGGGCCGAAGCCTTCATTCTTATGTATTCAGTAACAGACAAATGTTCCTTCGACGAGTGCTACAGGTTCAAGTTTCTTATAAATTACAATAAAAGAAAAAAACGTATAGGGAATAGCAACAAAGATTACCTCAACGACGTTCCTGTCGTTTTAGTAGGAAACAAAATCGACCAAGTAATAATTCAAAGAGAAATCAAACAGCAATGTAATTACATTAAATTTTAGGTAGAAGATAGAATGGTATCTCTAGAAGACGGACAAAAGCGTAGCAAGGAAATAGGTTGTGTTTGTTTCTATGAAATTTCCGTTAGAGAGAGCATTGAACAGGTGAAGAAGATTATAATTTGAAATCCTACACATTTATGCTCATGCATTTCTATACAGTTACCTTATTTTGAATTTTAACATTAGTAACATTGAAACATATTCTTATGTGACAGAACTAGCTATTGCCCCTTTTTGGGCTTTAGTTAAACCGCACCAGGGGTGCCAAAAGTTTTTACTTTGACTGACTAAAAATTAACCATTAGGTGTTGGAACATTTAAGCCTTGTATTGGGTAAGGGGTGCCTTGATTCTCATTTATACAAATAAAACGCTGAAATAGAATAGTTATCAATTTAATTAATAAATGAAAGTAATTCAGTATAGATCGATCAAATCCTATCTAAAAATTCCTAATTGGACGTCCAGTCGAACTGCAAATTTTATACTAATCTATACTAAAAGTTTAAAGTATCTTGACTTATAAAAAGTAGGGAAATATGATATTGATAATAATATCATTTTTGTCATACGCTCCCAAAAACAGCTATTTTACGGACTCATTTAAGTCCGTAAAATGCTTTTTTTCAGGATTTTTTTTCTTTCTGGGTGCACCCTTATGATTTCAAAAATTGAGGAAATTTTGCAGCGTTCTGAAGAATTCTTGTGACAAAAATAACTATTATGGTTAAATGTTCAATGAACGAGAACACAAATTAACTAATTAAATCCACGAGAGCACAACATAAATAATTCGTCAACTTCAATCAGTTCACTGTAATAACAAAATGTTTATTGATCCTTGAACGTTCTTTTATTTATTGAGAGTTAACAATTTGAGCACTTTTCTGCTGAAGTCTGTAAATATTGTGCAAGAAAAGTCTTTATAAATATGCTCAGTTTCTATATACAAATGTACAAATGTTAATTTCACGAAAGTGAAAACCAAATTTCTACATTAAAGGTTAGAAAAACACTTCAATTTATAGTGCATTTCAAGCGAATCACTAATCAGTATTTATTAACTTATTGTTCGACTGTTTAGAGAAATTGTAACAGTCTTACTTGCTTAATCCAGTTGATACAGATAAATCCATAAGGCGATTATTTATCCCTTTTTCACTATTCGCACTGACAGCTAAGGAATTTTCCACTGAGAGAGAAAACACAATGATATACAGGTGAGTTGGAGCCCGTCGAGAGTGAGAGAGAGATAACCAAAAAACAGGTGTAGGAGAGAATTTTGCTCGTCCGAGGTGACTTGCAACAATTAGGGGTTAATTACATGAATTGTAATCAATAATATAGACCATGTCAGGTCTTGAGACACTTAGAGTAGTATTATACTATAAATCGCGTACTAACGGGGGTTTTTTGGGGGTTTTTGCCTCTGGAGAGCGTTCAGAGGGCACGAGGGTGCGAACTCTTCGCTTGTTCTATTGTTACTGCCCAATGCGAGTCGACTAGTTTTTTCGGAGCAGGTCGCAAAAATCTAGAAAACAATGTGGCTGTAATTTTATCGGCTCAAAGGGTTGTTGTTGCCGGTTTTACAGGCATCTATTTTTAGAATATTATTTTTATGGTAAATAATAAAAATTGAGATTATATTAAATTAGAAATAATAAAAGTTTAAACTTGTTGTGGGTTATTTCCGCAACATCTTAATTATATTCTTCTCGGTCATTACCACAGATTAATGAATAATTTTAAAGATTTGTCGTTGTTTCTATTTGAATTAAAATGGTATCGTACTTATAGATACAAAAATATTTTCAACCATATTAAATCACGCCTAAAATCTCCGACCGATCTTCGATGCAAATCCAATTATAATAGCACTTTAGAAGCTCTATATGGTATCGATCTTTGATGACCTGACAGGTGATTGAAAGCTGGAGGAGGATATTTTTGCATTACGAGACGGAACTGTATAAGAAAAAACAAACTTAACTTCAACCTGATATCTTGTATTTTTCAACAAATTACCCAAATATTTATTTGCTCGAAAAAGTATCTACTTCTTCCAGAAAAAAGTCCAGAAACTCAAACAATGTGATCAAGTTTTCCGAAAATCAGAATTTATTTGTGACTAAAATTAAAATAAAATATGAAGTCATTCAGTCGTTACCCACGTTTTTTCGTATTGTAGAGTGATGACATTGAAAAACCCACCATTTATTTAAATTCGCTAGCAGTTTCCAAAAAATCTAAAATTAAGTTTTCACAATGATATACAACCAAACTTTGAAAATACATCAATATAATTTGTAAATAAATTTCAAGGATGTCGCCTATTATCGTGTCCCAATTATCCAAAAATGCAAACAAGGAAAAGTAATTTTTCTCACAAGAATTTCTACATGGTTTAACGGTTTCTTAATCAGAACAAAAATTTCTACTCCATCAAAAACTGGGGTAGTTTTCCTAAATAAACGAGTCTTTTTGTGAGAGAAAGGATTTTTTTTTTTTTACTTAGTTGCCTTTTTATTTGAAAATTTTGTCTAAAAGCAAAAGTTTACATACTTACTTCAAACCAAATAAAAATCTGAGTGAACTAAATTTAAATGAAGATTATTTCAATGCATTAGCATTAACCTGAGTGCGTCTATAGCGCAGTAATTAAGATTAACTGCGGTTAAAAATGCTTCTCTGAATTTAAATTAGACTTTCAGCTCCAGTGGAGAAACTTTTATTGCGTCTAGAGGGTTTGAGTTGTTGAACTAAATTACTGCTCATTAAAAAATTAATTTTTCTTTAAGGTTTGGAATGTTTTTCGAGATACTTGTCGATTTTGGAGAGTTCTAAGCAAAAACCCTAAAGTGCGACGTTCGGCAAGCGACAAAGAAGCCGAAAGTCCTGCCGATAGCACTCGTCTTTTATGTTCCAATGCAGTTTCACCCAGCAGTCTGGGTAATTCTCAAACAACTGGAATATTAGGTAAACCATCTTAAGCAAATTCAATTCAATTTTATCCAAATTAAATCCAGGTCGTCGATGGACTGACGAAGAACTTGAAGAAGAGAACGAATCTGAACCGAGAGGCAGCACCACATCTAGTTCGAGTGAATCGACACCGTTTAGAGAAAGGGCCTCTACAGATGGACATTTACAACAAAAACCTTGGAGATGGAGGTACGAATAGAGTCAAAACAAACTTTTTTTTAATTCAGAATAATATTTTGCCTGCAAATTTATTAATCTCCGCAATTTAATAAACGATTTTTTTTTCGAGGCTCGAGGGTGAGTAATTGGTTTTTGATCCAAAAGGAACTTTTACATTATTAATTACGGGCGGTATTAGGATTAGAAACATATTTGTTTTCAATATTTGTTTGACCTCAAATAAAATTGATTGAATGGGTGTTTTATTTAATTAAATAACATCGTTTTGCTTTTAGTTAATGTTGTGTTTACTTAGTTAGCATTTTATTTTTGTATGAATTTATTTGTTCTTTTGCAGGTATAGGCCTGGCAGTTCAAATTCGACCGATACTCCAGCATTTTTCAAAACTGACAGACGCATGAGTATATCGATGAGAGGAAGTAATGCAAGCTATTGAGATAGAAATGGCAATTGTTCTGTGTTTAAATAAAAAAAAACTTCCACTCTCTATAGTGGCTTTATTAAAAACTGTAAAATAATATGTATTTATTGAATAAATGTTGGTAACAAACAATGTAAGGTAAATTACCTTAAAAATATGGGGAAATAATACTGCGTTTTTAAATGTATAAAATGTCTATCTTATACCTAAATATAAATAGGTTTTTTGTGCTTTATAAAGAAAAACCTTTTGGGTTTATTTAACTTCAACACTATTATGCGAATCTTTATGGTAGAGCAAGAAAACTCGACAGTTACAATTACACCCTTGGGGGTGAAGACTTAAGGATCTTTGCTTGCTCTACTATAATGGATTTCTAGATGGTTAAGCATTCGTTTAAATTGTAATACTTAAGTGTTAAATTTTTTAAAAGAAATATTATTCACAGGGTGTTCAATTAAAAAATACATATTTGTAATATAAATTGACCATATTTGCTGTGATGTTGCTATATTGCTATCGGTGTTCAATATTTTCGAAAAAATCAACATATAAGTGTTTTATAATATTCAAAACAAAGTATTTTTAAAATACCTAGAAGTTAAATTTTTCTTGGACTAACTTAATGGCCTAATATATTAAAAATTATACATAATACGAAAATGTTCTACCTATTATTGTGACATTCCTTGTAGGTACTCACCTACCCAAGACGTTATTTTAAATTATAGGTGTATAAGTGGCATATTAATGTTTAATAAAAAGTAAAATATAATAAATTGAATATCTGTATTTGTACTTATGTATTAAGGCCTTAACATTGTCTGGAATGCAATAAACCCACTGCAAAAATAAAATCCATAATACAAATTAAAAATTGTGTTCCGATGAAGTATTTTTACAACGTTGAAACTTTTGAGATTGATTATTATGGTTTTAGTGATTGCCCTAAAAATAAACGAAGCATTTGAACTGAAGTGATTCTTCTCATACCATAATGTCACGCTCGCTGCTTTTTTAGCTATACTAGTCACCCTGAAAGTAGACCTGGAAGGGCAGGGTACAGGGTTGGTCTTCTGTGTCCACCCAGTCTTTCCTGGTCTCAAGTATGCCTGCTCCCTTTTTATTTTTTTCGTAAATTGTTTTTTTGATTATGGTAACTGTACTTCCACCGGCGATACCCTGGACCTAGATGGTTCTCGTCTTGCTCAGGTCGTTCTGGTATTGTATTGGTGTTCTGGCATACTGTCGATCTAATTGGTGTTTTGGCAATGTCCCTATTGTGGTATCTAGGCTGATGGTTCTCCTAGATTTGTAGGCGCTCTGGTTCTACATGCAGTTGATCTAAGTTGTCGATCTTAGATAGTGGTTTGGCTAGGTCGATCTTGTTGATGTTCTGGCGTAGGGTCTTACCGTTCTACCTGTTCTGGGAGTGTTCCATCTTGTAGTTCTCTGGTTAATGGCTTGTTCTTGTTATGCCGTTCTGGTAGTGATTGCATGTAGTGGATCCTAGTGAATTGCTTAGGTAGGTCTTTTTGATGTTCTGATTGTCATATGTGGAATGCGATAGGTACGAGACCATAGATACGAGACATACGTCCCTTCGGCTAGTTGTGCCCAATAGGGTTGTCTGTCACCACACGAATTGTCTCGCTATAAACCCCAAACTAAGATATTGCATTGCTCAGAAACCAAACCAAAATATATAGTAAATTACCAAAGGAAGATTTACGGAGTTTAACATAACATTAAATATTTAGAACCTTAGAATGTCAACTAACAATAACAACAAAGAAGTTTGAATTAAAGTAAACAAATTTTACATAACAAAATCATCAAATTTTTTTTGTCTTCGTTTTTCTCGTCTTTGTATTTCTTTAGGTTCTACATATCCTTGTATCTATGTAGTATTTCCGCTTTTCTCTTCTATCTTAATATTTAAATCCTCTCCCTTGATTCCAGGTAGTTTCACCAAAAATTTTCTGTTTCTCCTTAGAAGATCATTTTTGGTCTGGACATTGTCTTCCAATACATTTCATATCTTTCATTTATGTAAACTAGGTAACTAGGTCATTGTCATTCAATTTTGGTAAAATTTCTGTCTTATGTCTACAGTCATAATTTTTCTTTGTTTCTTCTTGTTCCTCTCTTTGCTTCTTCCTAAATTTTGCATGGTCAACCAGTTTTGGTTTTAGGTTTTTCTTTGTGGTGTAGGTGAAATTCCTCTAAGTTCCCTTCCAAATAGTAGTTTTGAGTGAGAGTTTCCACATGAAAGTGGTGTATTGCAATATGCTAATATTCCCAAATAAGGATCTCACCATTACTTGTGGAAATCTGGGGCTACATTTTATGAGGTTGAAGTTGTAAGTTTTCGCAAACTTCCTGAAACTGTTACTATCAAATTGTGGTCCACCGTCTGAGTATATCTCTGGAATTCCATAACGTCTAAAGATTGTTCTTAATTTTGCAATAATGTCTTCACTTTTAGTTTTCTTTAGTATATTAACTTCTGGATATTTTGAGTATACATCCTGTATGATAAGGTAAGCTTGATTTCTGTACTGAAATAAATCTGCTGATACATGCTGAAATGGTAAGTCTGGCAACTTTTGAAGTGTCATAGGATCTGTCGCCCGATTCTGGTTCTTCAAACATTCATAGCAATTTCGTACTGTTTCTATGAAATAATTATTAATATTGGGCCACCATACAGTACGTTTTGCTCTAGATTTGAAAGTATTTATGCCTTGATGTCCAATATGAATTTGATTTATGGTTTCTCTGTAGGTACATAGATGACGGAATTATAAGCCTGTCTTTGTAATACAACATACTGCCATAATATCTAATTTCATTACGATACTTGAAATATTTTTAACATGCCTCAATTACTTGTGATACTTTTTCTGGTCATTTCTGCATTAGGTATTAACTAAGTTTTTGAAACTCTTCTTGCTGTGCTTTTTCAACCATTTGCAGTGTGAACTTCAAGTTATCTTCAATTTATTTCCTTATAACAATTACATAGCATTCAACTTCTTCTTCCAATACATCTTTTTCATTATCTATTTGTTTCAGTGGCTGTCTTGATAACGTATCAGGTACATAGAATTTTTTTCTAGCGACATGCTCAATCTCAAATAGGGCTTTGCAAGACCAAGACCAAGACTGGCCAGTCTTGGTCTTGGTCTCGAAAAATAAATGCGGTCTTGGTATTGGTCTTGGTCTTGATAATTCAAGCAGAGATAATGGGTTTAGGACTTCAAAAATAAAAAATAAACTTTCCTTTTTGAAAAAATTATGCCGACGTTTCGACCATGCATTTGGTCTTCTTCACAGGCTATTTTTACCAGCAAGAGCGTTTCATGCCAAAAAATACCGCATAAAGCATTCCACAACTATGCCCACAACCCAGAGGAATAAACAAATATCAATTCTTAAATTATGATTTTTATTAACGGAACAGGAAAGTTGACAAATACGTCATAAAATTGCCATTCTGTACCGGGGAAAAAAATAAATTTCTTTTTGAAACATAGATTAAACCTACCTTACCTACCTGAGCATTCAGGCCAAAGAAAGGTTTTCGAGTACCCTAATATAGTCACATACCTCATTTGAATTTTATTGGCCTATTCACAATAATTAGATTTGGGTTAGTTTGTGTTAGTTAGTTAGTTAAAAATTATCTTTGGAAATTTCAATACTTGGTATTGTATTATGTAGGGATAGGAAAATATCGATGTATTCTGTGTAAATGAATGTTCCCTACACTATGTTGTATGTACGTATTTTGAAAACTTATAATACCTTCTCGTGAATTCCAAAAAATAATAAATTTGATAAATTGATTTAATTAAAAGACATTAAGAGAAGATATAGGAATTTGCATATTTTTATAAATATTGAGTCGATTTTTCTTTTCAAGACCAAGACGAGAGTCTTGAGAGAGAGTCTTGGTCTTGGTCTTGGTCTTGAGAAGATTTATCAGGTCTTGGTCTCGGTCTTGGTCTTGGTCTTGCTACCAAGACCAAGACAAGACCAAGACTAGTCTTGTGGTCTCGTGAAGCCCTAATCTCAAATGTAAATCTAGTTAATCTAAGTCCATTTAAGTTGGAATCTTACAGTCAAATCATTTATAGATTTCTTCTTTAAGATACTCAAAAGTGAATGATCGGTTTGTATAGTAAATGATTTACCTATTAGGTAGGTACTTTTCTAGTTTTTCACATGCCCCATGTAATAGCATATGCTTCCTTATCAATTTGGGCATAGAGTTGTTGTATTTCACTTAAACTTTTTGAACCACCATAAATAACAGGAGCTCATCACCCACCTGGTTGTAATTGTTCTAAACAGCCACCAATTCCAAAAGAACTCGAGTCTGCGAGAATTCTTCTTCTCACTTTTATCTTGTATTCATAGTCTTTTGATTCCTCAATTTTCTTGAAAAGTTTTGGGAAAGATTTTGTAATTTTTCTCAAACATAGTTGTTCAGTACTCACAGTTTTCTGGGCATTTATGCTATTAATCAGTTTTAGCAGGGTCAAGTCCTATATTGCAGGTCTGCCAAGTAAATTTTCTTAATTTTCCATGACATATACCTTGATTTTATTATTTTCACCCTTATAACTGATACTTTAGTACGTTTCAGTGTTGGTTTTCCTTTTAGCTTATCGTACGATGTCTTACTCAAAACTGTTACGTCAGCACCTGTGTCAATCTTGAAAGATATTTCTACCTCAGGAACTTTTAGTGCTATTTCCATGCAGTATTCGAGTTCCTCGACTATTTCGCCAACTTAAGTATCTTCGAATGAGTAGAAGGAGTCGTCATCTTCATCAAAATGCTTGAATTTGCTAGTTTGTCTCTGCGTCCCACATAGGAAGTCTGTACTGTAGGATAGAGCCTAGGTCGTCGAGCAGATATCTGCCCTGACAGAAATAAGATAAGGCTCATAACAATCAGGCAGATAACTCCCAACTTGAAGCGTTTACTTGCACCTACTGATACAGAGAAGCACTCAGACACGTCTGGTTTGCAATAGTCTCGGCGGAAATTTAGGTTATTTTAGTGCAAGTGCACTTTTCTGCTTAGTTGCAAAATAAATGTTGTAGCCCGTGATCCCCTGTACTTAAGTTGTGTTGACAATATAGAGAACAAAGTTCAAAGATTACTTTTCGGTTAGCCTCAAGTATTCTGGCGAAATAAACCTACCTACTGAAGAGAGATCTACAAGTTACAATATTTTTCCAAGGGTTTTGGAGACAGTTTTCTAATATTTAGTGTAGAAAATCTGCTTCACAAATCACACAAAGTATGCGTGATGTCTGTGATTGCGAAATGAAGAAATACAGATCATCACTTGAATGCTGTAATTATGGAATGACCACCTAAGATCTAAATTCCATAGAGCCTCTATGGAAATATCTGGAAAGCACACCCTGGTCAATCACTTGAACTGGTAAATGCTGTATTTATATCATGAATGCGGGTTTGTAATATTGATTTTTACAGTTGCAGAGACCTTGCTTTTCCTTTATCTGTAATCGATTTCACTTTTGCCGATGAAAAACACAACAGCTGGCGATCTCTTGCGAGGAAACTCTAAGCTCGAAGTATATGGAGTCGATCGATTAAAAATACAGGTAGGTCTGGATTTATTTCAATGTGAGCCACAAGATGTCACACTCTAAAGGATACGAGGATTCCTGTAGCTTCTATTTTTAGGAATTTATATAAAGAAGTGTCTCGTGGCCCTGAGATGTCTTTAGGGATTACTCAAATGAATGTGGAACTCGAAAATGGAAATATTTGAATAAATTTGGACTGAAAAAAAAAGACCAAATTAACTAACAAAGATTTTCAAATTAAAATTAGGTACTTTTCCCTATTTGCTAGGCAATGATAGATACTCAGAAGCAAGGACGGAGAAGAAATAAACAATTTTTAGTATGATGAGCTTCAAACCTCCTTTTTTTTCATTCCAAATGGTTCCAAAATATTCCACTCACTGGGTTTTCCACAATTGATCAAAACATGTGAGGGTGTATTTTTCTTTTAATAGTTGAATTTGCAGAATTTCTTATGTTATTGTTTTTCAGTGGATCAGTTCCATGATGAGCTTCCAACCTTCTTCTTTTCATTACAAAAATTTTAAAATATTCCCCGTACTTGCTTTTCCAAAAAGTATCGAAATGTGTGAGTGTGCATTTTTGTTTCAATATAAGTAGTTTTTGAAAATTGATGTTTTAGAATTTCTTATCTTGGTGTTTTTCACTGGAGCAGTATATGTTAGTATGGTGAACTCTTATCTTCCAAAAATTTCGAAATTTCCCCCTTACTTGTTTTTCCAAAAAACATCAAATTGTGACTGGGTGTATATTTCTTTTAATGTAGTTTTCAAAAGTTGATGTTCCAAAATTTTCTATGTTTTTCACTAGATCAGCTCCAAATATTAATATGAAAAACTCCCAACCTTATTCTTTTCATTTCAAAAGTTTCCAAATATTCCCCTTATTTGGTTTTCCAAAAACTATCAAAATGTGTATGTGCATTTTTTTTTCTCTAACTTGTTTTCCCAAAAACCAGCAAAATGTGTGAGGGTACATTTATCTTCTACTTAATGTAGTTTCTAAAGGTGGATTTTCCAAACTTTCTCATGTTATTGTTTCTCATTGGATCAGTTCCAAATTTTAGTATGAGGAACTCCTAACCTTGTTCTTTTGATTCCAAAAGTATCAAAATATTCCCTTCCTATGGTTTTCCAAAAATCATCAAAATGTGTAAGGGTGCCAAAGTTGACTTACCAGAATTTTTTATGTTATTGTTTTTTACTGGATCAGTTTCAAATTGGCAAAATCCATAGAGCCCAAGAATCCTTTGTTAAACGTGCCTCATCCTCTGAAGAATTTTGGCAAAGAAATTACAGACGGTAGCTCCAAAAAAAAATTCTCTCTCATTGAGATTGTCCAGATAATATAACTGACCATAGAACTTGGTTCCTTGTCTCAGTCCTTTCCAGGCTTCTTTGCGTTATTCTAAGTTCCAAAGCTTTCCAAATAAATTCCGAAAATTAAAAAAACAGATTTCAGAATTAGGAAAATGAACAAGTTAATGCTACATAACTACGATAATATTCACGAACTCTTTAAACTTGAAATTGCATAGCTAATATTTATCCGAAGAATGTGATTTTCATTTGTAGGTTGCTGTTTGGGCTCAACAACTATCAACACCGTTAGATTCCAGATTTTTTCAGACACCTACTATAGGGAAAATCCAATCTGCACTAAATTTAGACAACTACAAAGGCATACTTATATGAACCGAATAGCGAAAAACTTTGCCATGCAAACATGATGCTGTAGAGAAAGGAGAATGTTGAAGGTATTTGCAGATTTAAAACCAAGTTCCAATATGGATGTCTCTTCTGGCTTGGTTAGGTACATTTGTTTTAGTTTTGAAGTTGTCAGTCAGTTAATTTTCATAATAGAAAAAGGAAAGAACCCATTGTTTCAAACATGGCATATTGTAGGACTAACCAATAGAAACAACTTCTAAGGAAAGTTTATCCTTTTAAATTCGTTTTAGCTATGTTGGTTGATATTTCGAGCACGTTTTCTATCTCTTTATAATTCATAACAACACCATTACTAGAATTAACCCGGAACTAGACGATAACAAATTTAAGGACCTATATCTCCACCGCTAAGTCTCAAACGTGACATTCATTTTCATTAGCCTCGTTCCAACATTCGCCATCCAAAATAATTTATTTTTCAAAACTCAAACAAAATGTTACAAATTAATGAATTAAACAATTAACAAATTCATTAACGCATAAAAAAATGATATACCTACCCCTGGCTCACCCCCACCCTGTCCTTCAGGTCGACCTTGTACATAAGTGGGTGGTCCAAGGGAGCCGCCTCTCAATTCTACGGCCAGCCAATGGGCCACGTGCCGCCTGTGACGTCACGGGCTCCGGATCGATATCCAGACTCCTGGAAGGTTAGTTCTTGCACGGCCGTCGCGAAGGATTCCGATTGTCCTGGAAATTTCGTCATAGCATATAACGATAATTCTCGTGTATGTACGATACGGATGTCACGCTCTGGGGCAGATGTTGTCGCTAAGATTTAGAACCAGAAATAGCCCCTCGCAAAAAACATCCCTCAGGTGGGGTGACTGCTGTCCCACCGAAACGGTACGGGGATTGCTCACCTAGGTGGTGATTTTCTGGGGAAGTTGGTTCTGGTTTTTGGGTTATTGCATTTTTTTGGTAAGATTCTCAAAACTAATTTCATTAAATTTAAAAAAAATAAATATATTATAGCAGACCAATAATATAACTCGTATAGCATTGCAACAATCTACCTGACTTGGAAATACATCGCAGCCATTTTGATTACCTTGCAGTGTGTTTTATGAATGGAAATAACGACTTTACCATAACGACTGCCATAAACTGCAAACTTAAAGCTGGCTATAATAGTAGATGTCTATCTCTTTTAGTATGAAAGTCTCTATAAATAACTTTATATTTTCTATTTCTTCTTCTTACATAATAACCTAAAATGTTTATAAATTACTTCAAGAGCTTAGAAACATTACTTGCTTTTGCTCAAGAGCAGGATAAGAAGGTGTGCAACAAACAATGATATTCAAAATAATTTTTATTATCAATCATGCAAATTAGTAGATTCATAAATACCTAGATGACAAAAAACTATCGCAACCCCTCAAATTCATGCATAATTTCAAATCGCTATAGAAAATATTTACCAGTCATCATCATCAATCAGCCTTTTCCAACCAGTGTTGGAAAACAGCTGAAGCTAGTTTTCTCTTCTTTGTTATGGCTTGGGCTAATTGCATTTAAATTGGTTTACACGTAGGCAATTTTTCAATTATTTGGTATGATCTTTGATCACATGACCATCATATCCTCTTCTGTTGTGTTATGCTTGAGGGATGAGATCATTAACGCTAGTTTTTCAAGTTGCATCATAGATGCGATAGTCACCACTCCTAAACAAGTATTTCCTTCGTATCCCAAGAGAAAATTACTCTTTTCTTCATATCGCTTCTCTGATTATCGTTAGAGATGTCAATTTCGTTCCTATGCTAAAGTTTCTTTCGACATGATGATCTTCAAGCCACCTTTACAAAATCAGGTTTGTATCTTCAAAACAAGCGGAAAGCGAACATTGTTCAAGTATTTTACATCTATGATCAAACCTGTCTGATTCCAGAGGGTCCTTATTCTTGAAACAGGGGAGCATTATTCCCAGGAAAACGGGTGTTCTGTCTTTCTCAATGATATGCAAATGCTAATATAAGTAACAAAGACGGAATACTCGTTCTCCTGGGAATGCTACTCCCTTGTTTCAAGAATAAAGATCCGCTGGAATGCTCGAATGTACTCATTAGGGTCCTTATTCTTGAAACAGGGAAGCAACGTTCTCCTGAGAACCCTGTTCTAATGTTTCAAGAATAAGGACCCAGAATTGCATTCAAGGATTTCGTAGATATTCTTGTCTGACGCCACGATCAATAATTATGCTATCGATTTCCGTGCAGTTTCACCATGGATTTTTGTAGATATTGCGGTTGACTAAGTTTCTCTAACAGCTCTCACCGTCGAACTTTATATAACGTACTAATAAATCATTGTCACCAAATTCTTCCTGTAACTTAGGCTTGTCAAGTAAATGCAATAATATATAGGAGGATATGTCATGAACTGGGAGCGATGTTCAATTTTTGATTTTCGCTAGAGGTGGCTTCTACTGCCTGGCGGAGATTGGCGTTTTCGTTTAGCAGACGAACCACATCTTGTTTCAATGCTTCATACTCAAACTATATACAGGGTGTTTCACGATCAGGTTGATTTAAAAAAAAAAGGAAGGACACGTCAATTTTGTATTCAAGGGAGAAACTTTTTGACCCCATCGGTATTTCGCTAGGGTGCACTCCCTGGATACGGTGACTTTTACCCCTTTTTTTTTAGATAGGGAAGATGGATCGAGTAGTACCTCGTTTTAAAGGTATTTTCATTTCCGTCACAACTGTGTACTTTTTTTGAAAATCGAATTATTAGTTCTCAAGATATTTACTGTCAAAGTTGCCATAGGCTAAATAAGAAATAATCTCCTCGCTCTTTTATTCTCAAATTAACACTTTCCTGACTTTCCTTTCAGACACGTCAACGTTAATTTTTCCGGGAGCATACAAAAAAAGAAAATTGACGTGTCCGAGAGAAAAGTCAGGAAAGTGTTAACTGAGAATAACAGGGCCAGAAGATTATTTCCTATTTAGCCCATCGCAACTTTGACATTGACTGAGCTATCCTACGCGTCCTACCTTTCTGCTTTCGCACTTCTGTTAACCACCAACTATCCAGCTAGCAGTAACTACCCCCCAGAGTCTAACACCTGCGAAAGGCACCAGGTTTTTGGACTTGGTTGGGCAAGCCTTTCTCCTGGGTACTCGTGTTAGCCGAGTTCCCCCAGCAACGTTTAAGGAGTCACTGTTCGCTCCCATTTTCATGGGTAGCTACCACATCTAGGTTAATACACTCTTATGCATTTCAGCCACGGTCCGCGAACCCTAGAACCAGCACAGCGACGAGCATTTTTACCGACACCAGAATGTGGTCGACTCAGCGCCGTAGTTTCTTGTGTTAAAAGGGCTGACTAGGTGAGTTCCTTTTCCCTTGACAAGGTCCGGGATCGGGGTTTCCCCCTACTAGCTTTCGGAACACCCCAGTCATCCATTGCCCAGATACCTACCTGGGATAGGGTAGACAGTTAGGGGTCCTTCGTCCATGCCAACTAGTAAAACTATGGGTATTACTCAGGTTATACCTTTAACCCCCCGGCCGTGCCCGGGTTCTCATTTAACCGGACGAGTCGCGGTTCGAAGTATCGCCTATCCCCGGAAAGCTGGGCTCAGCGAACTTTCAGCCAGATATACTGGAATAGTTCGCCGAGTTCCCTGCTTTTTGCGCAGATCCGACAATACTGCTGCCATCTTTCTGGAAAGAGTCTCAGGAACTTTGCCCAGAATTCTAGGATCGTTCGAGAGCTTCTCTTTCCTTCGACTATCGTGAGATGGTAGACACGATAGCTCGGTGGAATTAACAAAATTGCACCAGCGAACCAGAAAATGTGGGTAGGGACAGTGGGAACCTCGTTAATCCAGCCTTTGACAGTGAATATCTTGAGAACTTATCATTTGATTTTCAGAAATAGTACACAGTTGTGACTAGAATCAAAATACCTTTAAAACCAGGTACTGCTCGACCCATCTTCCCATTCTAAAAAAGAGGGGTGAATGTTACCCCACCCACGGGGTGCACCCTAGTGAAATACCGATGAAGTCTAGAAGTTTCCCCCTTGAATACAAAAATGACGTATCGGGGTGGTTTTTTCAAAGACCTTAAAACTTCCGATGTTTGTGAAACATCCTGTATATTCCTGTCCAGTTCTTCTTGGAGTCAGGATCGGAACACACGTAAATTTAGATGAGAAACTCAGGATTTCCTTTAGTGATACATGAAGATAGGAATTTGATGTGCCAGCATCAAACATTTTGTCAACAAGGGTCCCAAAGAACTACAACAAAGCCAGAATAGCAAAGTCGATAATATATTGCTTGCTTTTAACAAATCACACAAAGTTACTACGTGCTTTATCTAATTCTCTGTAGATTTCGTGCCCCCTTTAACTCAATTTTTCTTTACCCTATTATAGCTAGCATTATTTTCCTCTTTTTTCATAAAAATATCGAATAACACGCAATACTTGTTCAAATATCAAGTATCTACAGTTCATTATTTATTTTCTAGCTTGAAGTATCAATTTAATAGAAAGGTTCGTATATTACTACCACCTTCCGTAAAAGAAAATAATGTGAAAAATGAACAAATGTCTTCGTTAATGGATTGGTGATGTGTTATTTTGATGAAGGCCAAATGATGACCAAATAATTATAAATATACTCATACAGGGTGTTAATTTGAATACTTCCAATGCGTAAGAAGGTTAGAAAAACGTAATGTGGTACAAATATTATACAGGTAGGGGGAACTAGAAGCATCATATTTTGGTTTGGGATGAGTGACTCCTTGGGCCCCATGCACCCCAACCTCAAAATTTTGAATTGCACGAATTCTTTTGTGATACCTAAAATTAAATATTTTTGACTATGGTATTCACCTATACAAGAATTTTTTCAAAAAATATTTAATTAAAAAGGGTGGTAGGTACCATTTAAAATATTGGGGTTGGGGTGCATATGGGGCCCAAGAGGTCATTAAAATCAAAATATGGTGGTTTAGAACATTTGTACCAAATTACGTGTTTCAAACTTTTTCACATTCAAAGATATTCGCATTGAAAGTTTTCAAATTGAAACTCTATACTTAATAGCAACAAATTTCCAGAAGTTTTTTCATTATCATATGCAATACTGAATTCAAAAGAATTCAAAAGCTGAAATAATAATAAGTTTGATGAAGTTCAAATGATCTATACTATACAATAATCCATAAAGTTATTACAATAAAGTGAAAGAATTCTAAAAGCTATATTTAAACTTGAAGGTCTGATGAATCGCGTGACTGGGTGGGATTACTCAGAGTTATCAATCATCGAATAAAAAAGGAAAACATCTAAAAGTCTTCATCCATTTATTGTATGACAGGTCGTTTTCAAAAAATACACGCAGAGAAAAATATCAGTGTAGTTTCGGCAGACATTTCCTCATAGCATAAAATAGCACCCAGGATATTTTGAATTCGGAGAAAAATCTTGAACCGTTGCCAAATCCCATTAAAGTGTCGTTCAATACATGGAAGAAATTTAGTGGAAATTGAGCTCCGATAACATATGCTACTCTTCTAACATATCAGTAGCAAGCTTGAATTTTTCTACAACTCGCGTCCTTTATCGCACTCTAGATTAAAACAATGTTTATATAATGCTTTAAACATGTATGTTTTTTTTTCAGATTGTAAAGAACATCGATAGCATCCATCCAAAATGATCAACATAGCAGGAGTAATATCCATTGTCTTATTCTACATCGTAATTCTTGCGGTGGGAGTTTGGGCGGGAAGAAAAAAAGAAGCTGGAAATGATTCGGAAGAAGAAGTTATGCTCGCTGGCCGTAACATCGGGTTATTTGTGGGAATTTTTACAATGACAGGTACAAATCTATTTCGTCCATATCTCGAAGAGATAATAAGATTGAGACGATTTTTCTCAATCTAGCTGTTTTTGAGAAATGAAAATTAAATTTCCGTATTTTCTTTATAGCAACATGGGTAGGTGGAGGTTATATCAATGGTACTGCAGAGGCAGTATACACCTCTGGATTAGTCTGGTGCCAAGCTCCATTCGGATACTCTCTAAGTTTAGTTTTCGGTGGAATATTTTTTGCCAACAAGATGCGTCAACAAGGCTACATCACCATGCTGGACCCACTCCAAGACACTTTCGGCGAAAGAATGGGCGGTTTGCTATTTTTGCCCGCTTTATGTGGTGAGGTAAGAAATATTTTTGAGATTCAACCCTTGTCAGTACCAATTAAAAATCTTATTCAAGTAATTAGGTTCATAACGTGCCGGAGCATTTCTAATCAGGTTGGTGTTTGAATCCTAAACAGCCATCTTTGACCTAAATAAAAATCTCGGTATTTTATCGATCTTGGAATGTGAACGTGCTTTATATTATATTCTATATACAACCAAAAATATAATTTCAGGTTTTTTGGGCAGCTGGAATCCTAGCAGCACTTGGAGCCACCCTCGCAGTCATCATCGACATGGACAACCGCACCAGTGTAATTTTCAGCGCAGTCATTGCAGTACTCTACACTCTTTTCGGCGGTCTTTATGCAGTAGCCTACACTGACGTCATACAACTGTTTTGCATTTTCATCGGCTTATGGATGAGTATTCCATTTGCCTGGACCAATGAGCACGTACAATCTTTATCAGCAACGGACCATGATTGGATAGGATCGGTGGACTCTAGCGATATATGGTCCTATATCGATTATGGTTTGTTGTTGGTATTTGGTGGTATACCTTGGCAAGTGTATTTCCAAAGGGTGCTCTCCAGCAAATCAGCTGATAGAGCTCAGTTGCTTAGCTATGTAGCGGCTCTTGGGTGCCTCTTAATGGCTATTCCACCTATTTTAATTGGTGCTATTGCAAAAGGAACTGGTAATAATATTTTTCGGTCTATGGACGATTATTTTTAAATATTTTTATTTAGCTTGGAATGAAACTGACTATAAAGGTCCCTATCCCTTGACTGAAGCAGAAACCGGAATGATTCTCCCCATGGTGCTACAATACCTCACTCCCGACTTTGTCTCCTTCCTCGGACTTGGTGCTGTGTCAGCTGCTGTGATGTCTTCAGCAGATTCTAGTGTATTATCGGCAAGTTCAATGTTTGCCAGAAACGTTTATAAATTGATATTTAGACAAAAAGCTTCAGAAATGGAAATTATTTGGGTAATGAGAGTGGCTATTTTAATTGTTGGCTTTCTGGCTACTGTAATGGCATTGACAATACCATCGATTTATGGTCTATGGTAAGCAAGTTTTACCAATAAACAAGTAATATATTTATTAAATTTTCTTGTATTTGTTTCAGGTCAATGTGCTCAGATCTCGTCTACGTAATTCTTTTTCCACAACTTCTAATGGTAGTTCACTTCAAAAATTATTGCAACACTTATGGAAGTCTAGCTGCCTACATTACAGCCTTTTTGGTTCGGGTATCTGGAGGAGAACCTCTAATGTTCCTTCCAGCCCTCATTCACTTCCCCGGCTACGACGAAGTAAATAATGTCCAAAAATTCCCATTTAGAACTATGGCTATGTTATTGTCTTTGATAACATTAGTTTTGGTTTCATGGGGCACCAAGCACGTATTCGAAAGTGGCAAGCTTGCTCCAGGCTATGACATATTCCGTTGTGTTGTTAATATTCCTGCGGATGTCCAGAGAATTGAAGAACCTGCCGAAGAAGGCGAACAAATGTCAGTTATGACCGGGCCTATGGGTAAAATGTATGGAGCTGCAACGCTTGTGGGCAAAGACGAACGTAATGGAAGGATTAATCCGGCGTTGGAGGCTGATGACGATATACCTGCTTCGGAAGTTGATAGGTTGCGCAGTTCGGCAGGCGGAGGCGGTAGTAAAAATGCTCCAGCTACTAATCCATTAGACAGCTACCAAACTAAACTGTAAGTGAGAATGGTTTTTTTTATGTTTGACTCATCTGGTGAATCGTAAGCTTGGGAATTGTGGAAACTTTTTCAGACGCACTTACTTCCTGTCTGGCATGGTTCCAGATAGAATAATGAAAATATAAATTTTTAAAAGGTCTAGCTGCCAGTATATAGATTCGTTAAAATTTATACTTTTCAGACTTGATTTTAGCTTATCTGGCAGCTACAAATTTTTAATGAAGTAATCCCAATTTCTCCCGAAATAGTTTGAAACTGGAAAGGTTTTCAATTATTTTCTGATGCCTACTTAATTCAATAATTGTGAAGAGCTTTTTGTAAATAATGAGTCAACTTTTATTGAAAAACTTGAATAAAGAGATGATCTAATTTTCAGTTAACCGGCATTAGTTCCATATTTAGATAATGGTGCGTGAAAGGTCTATTTTAAATAAAATTGTATTTTTGAAATTCATTAATTTTTTCGTGTGAAAAATTCATTTCATATAAATTATGTATTAATTTTTATGCTCATATAAAGCAATAACTGAACATAAACTGATTTATGATAAAGTGCAGCCTTTGAAGTTGGTTGCATTCAACAACGAGAAATGATTTGATTAATAGAATTTGGCCTACTCATCACCATAATATCCCTTTTCATGTACAATTTTGTGAAATAAAAAATACAATAGATACACCACACAAAAAAATACTAGGTCTATTAGGAAATCAGTCCCAAGCTTAGTACTGAAGGTATAGAACCGCATTGCAAGTGCGAAATATTTCTAAAAATTTCATTGTAGCAATGCGGAATTCCGCACTATGAAAACTAGGCTTCATACTTAAAATTTTCATGAAAACGGATTCAGGCTACGAGTTTTGTAACAAACGATACATATAAAAAGACTAAAAATTATACCAAGCATATCAATATTATACTTATGGATTTAATTTTTGTTAGTATGGCAAATCAAGTGTGGAAGTCTTGTTACGAAAAAAAAAAACAGAAAATAAATATAATTTGTTATACAAGTTTATTTAGATGAATATATTAGTTGCTTTAACTATAAAGTTTATAAATTATAGCCAATTGTTGAACTATGTAATTTACTTAGTACACATTTTAAATTAAAATTTATTTGCAAATTCTAAAATCGTTGTGTCAATAAAGGTATTATGTTATAGATGCGGTTTTGAACTGTTAAGCTGAATGTCCTAAAAAATCAGGCTTATAAAAAGTATTATTTGAAATTATAGCCAATAAAATCGATTGAAACGTAACATATCTAGAATACATATCATTATTGTTGTTGCATTGCTGTGTACTATACTCACTATTTTGAAGAAAACTCTGTTGTTATCTTATTGTATCTATTTTTTTAAGATAATAAGATACTAACGAATCATATAAATAAATGTATAGATAATAAAAAAAAATATATATATTATAGCATAATAGGTCATCTATTCTGTGTATACCTTAAAATGAATAGACTGTTAATTCATCCAAATGTAAAACCTTTAGTTGTTGTATAAAAATATCAATTTAATGTAAAAAAAAAGAAACTTTAGATTGGTTAGATCTATTACTGTTGTAAAATGAAGAATAAAATGCAGGCATGAAATAAATTTGTTTTAATAATAACACCTCTAATATCAACCAAAAAAGAATCATTCAAATCTTCATAGACAGCCTGAAAATGCATATTCAACACTTTGCCAGAACTTTATCATGGTTGCTGAATATTTGAAGCTGATGAAAACCACCTATTTAAAATATTATTTCTTCAAATCTCAACTTTTTAAAAAAGCATTTACTGAATAAAAGTTAATGTTGCAACCATGTAATGCGCCCTCAAGTTAAGGTTTTGGAAAAACAGGAACGCAGGCGCCGCGCCGCCACGAGAGAGCGTAGGTACCGAAGAAGGTAGAAGACAAACGAAGAGAAACCAAGTGAGAGCTTAGATCCGCAATTGTGGGTCTTCCAATTTCTTTTTAATTTGTAATTGAAATTCATAGTATAAACGATCGTGAAAAATGCCAAAAAAATAAAACGCAAAAGCTTTGACCACAAGAAACGTCCATTTTAGACTGCCATTCAATACGAATCTCCTTTCGATGCCATCCCAGCTACCATTTTGTACCCGTGGAAAATTACCAGAGGGTTGTATCCCGAGAGGCATTGTTCGGTCACGTAGGCGCTGCGATGTACAGGGTGTAGATTCTTGTGACTCATGGTTTTCGTAATTATTTACAATAGTAAAATCAAGTTTGTGTTTGGTGATTAGTTTGTGTAAGGAGCGTTCACAGGTTATTTTGTTTTTGAGAGTTCAATTTATGCAAGTACCTATTATTTTGTTCATTTTCATGTATTTTTTTGTTTGTTCATAACATTTTTTATAACATGTGCATTGTTCATGTATTTAACAAAAATCGTTTGTTTCATGCTGTAAACAACCTAGATGAAGAAGTAAATTAAAACCTAAGAAACTATGTGCTGTCTTTTGTGCTGAGATTTTGATTTCGTGTATTCAGAACGTGCATTAGGGCCTTGTTGAATTTACTAACATTTTCCTACCCTGACGAGCGAATATCCTACCGAAGAAAGGAGAGAGATATTGGCTCAAAATAACAACTATAGCATCTCGTATGGGACCTCAGTACCTTCCGGCAAACCGGCTAACTGACAAAAACTCTTCAGTATTGATAATAGGTAGTGTTGATTGAATATAGTGTGTGTAATTGAAATTTTAGCACAAGAACAGGGGCGGTACCTAATTTAAACTATCATTTAATCACTCCCAATTATTATTAAAATGACACAGTATGTTTCGATTTTTGAGGAATGTTAGATCGAGGGTTTCTCTGCCGTGCTCTTTCCCTCGTTAGTTCCAGGATGAGAACGGTACGATTTACTTAATTAATAAAGTAGACGTTTCACAAATTTTTCGTTTCTTTTACATATCAAAACTTCCCTTAAATTTCCCAAATATTTGCTGTCGGGCGCATATCCAGTAAGTAAAATTAAGTAAGTTTCCACAACGTAGGTCCTATTTGTTTCTCATTTTATTTTCCAGAAGAATTATTGTTTAAAAGGTAATAAAAATTCTCATCGTTCAATCTCAATGAACGAACCTGGGTATGTTATAATACAAAGCTAACATGTAGTTTATAATCAGTTCAACCTCTAAGCTCTTGCTTCATGAAAATTCTAAGGTTGAAAAACAAAATAAGATAAATTATTTTATTTAAAACTTTTTTATTCTCAATTTTTTTAATTAAATCGTTAATTGGTTTGTATAAAAAAATATCGCCGATTTATTTTACATGAAAATAAAATTCCTTTTGAACTGCATCGCAAATATGAACACACTTATTTCAATTAAACTAATACTGAGGCAATCTAAACAATAAATACGTTTGAGGTTTATTTACAAAAAGGCAATTTTTCCTTAAAATTAATACGAGTATCCACCGTTGCTTGCATAACTTTGACCTCCGCCGTTTCCTCCAGAGCTGTATCCGCCACTCGAACCACCAAATCCTCCCGAACTGTATCCGCCTGATCCACCAAAGCTGCTGCCCGACGAAGGAGCTCCATAGCTGGACGAAGGAGCTGACGGTGCACCATAGCTGGAGCTAGGAGCAGCAGGAGCTCCGTAGCTGCTAGACGGAGCACCGCCACCGAAAGAACTTCCAAAACTAGAGCCAGATGATGGAGCTCCGTAGCTTGAGGATGGCAGAGATGGTGTGCCGTAGCTGCTTGATGGAGCACCGCCACCGAAAGAACTTCCAAAACTGGAACCAGATGATGGAGCTCCGTAGCTTGAGGATGGTACGGATGGAGTACCGTAGCTACTCGATGGAGCACCACCACCAAAACCGTTGGATCCGCTGAATCCACCATTGGATGGAGCACCGTAAGAAGAACTTGGGCGGGATGGGGCTCCGTAAGAGCTTGATGGTGCTCCGTTTGATGGTCTGGATGGGGCACCGTAAGAGCTGGATGGTCTTGATGGAGCTGGCCTGGAAGGAGCACCGTAGTTTGAGGATGGCCTAAAAATTATTTGAATATAAGCTATATCACTTGCTGCATACCATCGAAAGTATTTGATTTTAAACTACAGAGACTGTATTGCTCTTTCAAATGAGATTCAAGAAAAAAATAAGGGAATATAGATTGTCAATGTCTTGTTTTTAGCGTCCGCGATAGAGAATTATTATTCATTGTAAAGAACCCCCCATAAGTGTACTTTATATTATCCAATAGATGCGTTTTCGAGTTTATTTTTTGGTGGTGATTTTATTCGTTGAACGGGTAGTTCTTCGTGGATCCCACATTTTTTGGTGATTGTGACAGGACTCGAAAAACATTTCTGGAAAAATATAGACTGTGAACCGTGTGAACGCCAGGAAATCTTGAGTTGTGTTTCGTACTTCTGGATTTGACCATTCCTTGCTCTCAATTTTAGCGAAAAGTTTCTATGTGAACAACTGTGTAACTAGTCTACCGGATCTACAAACTTTTAGACGTAAATCCAGCATGATTTTGGCACAAGCACAATTTGATTTGAGAGGGTGGAAGTTTTCTTGTCAATCACTAATTGTTTCAGATAGTTCTGATAAACCCATTCCTCTTCTGTGACTTGCTTGGAATAATCGTGATGACACTTTGAGTATCAGTTGGAGATCTGGAGCTACTTATGACTAAGCCAGTTACCAAGATAATTATGTTATCATTGGCTCAGAGAGTGTTTGAGCCCATTAAATCCCATGCCTGTCCGACTACATTGATTCCGAAGCTGTTACTCCAGAAAACTTGGAAGGAAAAGTTGGCGTGGAACACTGAAGTTGCTGAAAACATCAAGAAGTCATTCCGAAATTGGATAAAAGCTTTGCCCATTTTGGTTGACATGCAAGTTCCTCGTTGGATAGATGCGTTTGGTGAAGGAGCTATAATAAGCTAACACACGTTTTGCGAACGCAAGTAAAGGGGCCTACGGGACGGCGGTCTTTTTGAGGTGTGCCTATCAGGATACAGTTCATACTACTCTTTTAGCTGCAAAAAGTCAAGTTGCCCCAATAAAAATTGTGACTATACCACGAATGGAGTTGCTGGCGGTAGTTATTGGCACTAGATTGTGCAATTCTGTGAAAAAAGCTCTTGAATTCAAATCATTGCAGTGTTTTTTCTGGACAGATTCAACAACAGTATTGTCATGGATTAAGAGAAATGAAGAGTGGTGCAACTTTGTATGTAATAGAGTGACTGAGATCAGAAAGACTTCCACAACGGACAGCTGGCGTCATGTTCCTGGATCCCAAAACCTAGCCGACCTTTCATCACGTCACGAGGCTGTTCACCACGACAGCTGTACGAATCTAAATGGTGGGAGGATCCCAATTGGCTTTATGAAAACCCTAATGAAGTAAGGATTTTTGCTGAAAAGAAAAAAGGTATTGTGACTAGTTTAGCTGACTCCAAAATAGTTAAGGCAGCAACGGAATGGGCTTTTGATATTTTTTTCAAGTTTTATTAAACTATTCGTATGATTGACTGGATATTCAGATTAGTCCATAATGTCCAGAGGATAAACGCGTTGGTCATCTATCTGCTGAAGAAATAAACCTAGCGGAAGTTTTCGTTTTGGGAACTGTACAAAGAGAAAGTTTTTCCAAAAATGATCAATGCCTGAAAACTTTTTACGTATTTTGGGATGATTCTGGCATTGTACGTTCGAAGTCTCGTATAGCAAATCGTGAAAATACCCAATTTTTTTGCATGCCGATAGTACTGCCATCTCGTCCAGGGCTTATTGAGCTTACTGAGAGAAAAGTACTGGATATTGAGTGGACGAAAGTACATCAAAAGTGTAATTTCAGGCATCCAAGAGTAGCCAAGTCCAGAGTCACCCACTTCCTGCAGATCGAGTTGGGGATGCGTCAGCTTTTGAAGTCACTGGTGTGGACTTTACTGGTCCCTTATGGTAAAAAGATCTGGATCTGTATTTTCACATGTGCTGTTTATAGAGCGGTGCACCTGGAACTAGGCAGTTCATTGTCAACTGAGTGTTTTGTGAAAACCCTAAGAAGATTTGTCCGAAAGTAGTATAATGGTGACAATGGAATCAATATTGTCGACACAGATAATTTATTCAAGAAACTGTTATGGAGCGAAGTTGAAAAATATGCAGCCGTGGATAACATGGCGTTTAAGCCGTCGAACAGCAGTTTGGTGGGTGGGTTCTGGAACGCCTCGTCGATATTTTGAAAGGATTATTGCGGAGAGTTCTTGGACGGGCGGCGCTCACTTATGAGGACTTACTAACCGTGATATTTGACTGTGAGCAAATAGTAAACTCCCTACCTCTGACATATATTTCAGAAGACGCCAGTGAATTGGTACCACTAACACCAATTATGTTTACGCGTGACTTGTCCGTAGGTACTTTGCCTGATTGTGAAGTGGTAGACTGATCATTATTGTGTCGAAAGGTAATGCGAATACAGAAGATTCGGAACAATTTGGAATTTAGATTTCGGAATAAATACCTTGAGCCACTTCAAAAACACCACTAGTCTTAAGGCGAAATTGTGCTAGTTGGTGATGATAATAGTAAAAGA